AAAGGGAAACATACCGAACCCGGCATACTGAAAAAGCTAGAGAACTCCGTACTCGATGTAAACTTAGAGAACTCTATGTACTCTATAAAACTAGAGTACTCTATGTACTAGAGTACTCTATGTACTAGAGTACTCTATGTACTAGAGTACTCTATGTACTCTATGTACTCGAACTCTATGTACTCGAACTCTATGTACTCTGTGCTCAAAAATAGAAACAGCTCTTCTAGTGTACTCAACTTCTCATTTTCTCTTGGAAGTATTTAGTTGAAAATTAACAAGCGAGAGTGCACAGGATTTGAGCACAAAGGAAAAAAGTATCAGAATACTTTCCGAAGATTTCAAATCTTTCTCAACCTTCTCAAATCAAAAGCATCCGTTTATTTACCTATCCCACATCGTTTCCCCTCATTTCGCGTGTCAACCAATCATCCGTGACTTGTCCCATTCCATTCTCCTTTTCCCTCAATTTTTACCCCATTTTTATCTAAAAAAAACCCGCACTCATCGTCGTTTTTTCCCCTCAAAATTTCCCTTCTGAAATCCGCTATTTGTCTTTCATCGAAATCCCCACAATTTTCGTGTTTCGCTTTTTTTGATGAGTCATTTTAGAGTCATTCTATTTGCATAACGACTGAGATTCTCGATTAGATATTGAAAATTGGAATTGAATTGGAATTGATTTGGAATTGATATTGAATTGGAATTGATTGGAATTCCGATTTGGAATTGAATTGGAATTGAATTGAATTGGAATTGAAATTGAATTGGAATTGGAATTGAATTGGAATTGGAATTGAATTGGAATTGAATTGGAATTGAATTGAAATTGAATTGGAATTGAATTGGAATTGAATTGGATTGGAATTGGAATTGAATTGGAATTGAATTGGAATTGAATTGGAATTGAATTGGAATTGAATTGAATTGGAATTGGAATTGAATTGGAATTGGAATTGAATTGGAATTGGAATTGAATTGGAATTGAATTGAATTGGAATTGAATTTGAATTGGAATTGAATTGGAATTGATTTGGAATTGAATTGAAATTGATTTGAAATCAAGTTGAAAAAACTTTTTGAAGAGGACAAGTTTTGCCTTTGAAAAACGGCTGGGTTGTTGAGTCTAAGGATAAGATTGTTTATGATTTGTTTATGTTTATGTTTATTGTTTATGAAGATTTGTTTAATAACAAATACGCAATTTTTCAATTCGCAAGCTATATTTCATATAAATCTTCTTTATTAGCGCTTTAAAATCTATCCAGCTAAAAGTTCCGCTGAACAGAAAATACTTTTGCTTTTTCGATTGTGGAGATTCTCGATAGCGTCGTCGATTGATTTTGCCCGTTTTGCTTGTTGTTCTCTGCAATTTTTTGAATCAATTTGATAAAAAATAGAAATTACATCAAAAATACGTTAGTTTTTAGAAAGTTTTATTCAAAATTTACATCTAAAACCTTTCCCAAACCTTAACTGAACACTCCTTTTGAGATCTTTTTTAGTGATCGTTGGAGGAAGAGCTACCATGTAGGCACCACTTTTTGTAATGATTGGACTGTAAAATGAAATTGATACAGAAAAATCGCATAAAATTTTGAACTATACCTTTTTCTTGAACAAGCATTCGGTGATATTCGAAGAGCAGTTGGACGAGATGAAAGGGGAAGGTTTGATGGAGGATGAGGAGGAGGAGGATGAAGATGAGGATGAGGAGGGGGATGAGGAGGATGAGGATGAGGAGGATGAGGAGGAGGAGGATGAAGATGAGGATGAGGAGGAGGGATGAGGAGGATGAGGATGAGGAGGAGGATGAGGGAGGGGGGGGAAAGGGGGGAGGAGGAGGAAGGATGAGGATGAGGAGGATGAGGAGGATCATTTGATTCTAAAGCTATATAAAAGTTTAAAAGTTCTTGTGGCAGCATTGATTCTAATGCACTTAAAGATTTTGAGTTTTTGTTTTAAATTTATCAAAAAGCTTTTCAATCTGTGAAAGTCCCGTAAACCTTAATGACTTGAGTCGAAAGTTTTCGGGGAATTTCAGGGAAATCTCTCACACAAAAACCCACAATTTATGTCCCAATTTCTCGCGAGGAACACCTTTTTCTCATCGCTTTTTTCTCCGCTTTTTTCTTCTATCTTTTATTGTTTTTCTCGGTGACCAAGACGAATTTTTTTATAAAGTTTTATGGAGTCAATGAAATTTGAAATAAAGTTTAAATAACTGTTCGATTTAGATAATACGAGAAAAATGACTAATTGCAAGGCATAGATCTTTCAATAAATTATTATATTAGGTTGATGCAAAAGTCTTTTTCATTTTTTCGTACTACTTTTGAAAAATAACAAAGTCATCAATTAACCTATGGTTTGCTCTAAATAAAAGTGTTTATTGTTCAATTTCCCATCTTTTTAAGTCAATTTGGGTTCACTTTCAAGCAAATTCGAGAGTGAAAACGGGTTTTTCATAAAAATCTATAAAAACCTCTATAAAGAAATTGGCTGAATCAATTTCTCTGAAAATCTGAACAAATATCTAACTTTTTGTGCTCTATCTTTTATTTATTAACATCAAGATTGGTTTCCTTAGCTAAAGCGTCTAAAATGCATCATCGAGCCGTCGCCTTTTTTGACTACCCGACTTCAGGCTCTCAAAAAAATCTAGACATAAGACATTTTAAACTCGTTTTAATGTCATTTTGCAGAAAAATAATTGGCCTTTCGAATGCAATAAACCGTTGTTCAATTGGTGCATTTGTTACTTTTTAACGGAAGTACGAAAAAAATGAAAAAGACTTTTGCATCAACCTAATATTATGACTATAGTATACAAGAAACAAATAAAAAGATAAAGATAAAAAAATCGATTTTTATTTGATTTAAAGATACGAAATTCTATACAGACATCACTATTATAAAATATAAAAAGCACTTAGTCGACAAGAATGAATCACTTTAGTTCGAAAGGCTTTTCATTAAAGAAGAAGAACCCAGCGGGAGATGTGAAAAAGGAGAAGGGGACTGTCGATAGGAGAATGAGATTTATGAGACTGTTGGGCTTGATCGAGAATGAATGACAGGCAATGGAATAAACGAGGCACAAGACAGGGACGTTCTTATCCTCAAGTTTAGAAGTGATTCAATATCAAATGGATAGCATTTAACTCGCTACCGTAAATACTGTAATAGTACCCCACCCCCCTCGTGCAGTCGCGTAGTTTTTTAGTATTTCATTTTTTTTTCAAAGCGCCCGTACTTTCAAAAAATGCGTCTTTGGTATCAAAAAATAGCTGAAATTCAGGGCTATTTTTTGATACCTAAGCGCGCATTGCAGCATAAGCCAGTGTCGAGAAAAACTCGTTCAAAACTAGACTACGCAACACTCCGCACCGTCATTATGGGCGTGAGGTACTATTAGAGTATTTACGGTATGCTTTATTCAAGGGGCGAATAGAAGCGAATCAGATAATCATAACCACATATAACAAATTGCTACAATAATTTCACACAAAAAAGAAAGAAAACTAAAAATGGTAAGACTACAGTTAGGAAACACAGGTACAAAAAGATTAAATATACACTTCGTCGACAAGAATGAATAACTTAAAAATACCACATGAGCTAACAGATTTTTGAGCCATTTTCCAGTTCTATAGCACTTCATTGAAAGCTTTTATGCAGAAAAGAAATTTTAAAAAGGGCTGCTACGCAGGAGTACGCGATCATACTCTTTACCCGGTCTTCTATTCGAAGAAATACGGTATCCTCTTTGCATTCTATTATTCTATTATTAACTTCAAAACAAAATTGGATTCAATACGAGGGAAAGTATTAGAGAACGAGTTAAACTATAAATTTTGGTAAGCAGAAAAAGAGAATTCAACTATAAAACTTCATAAAGAACATTGATAGAAGTTTCATTGTTCATTTTTCATTGTTAAACCCTTTTCTTTCATTGTTAAAAGTTTTCAAAGAATTGAAAAAGTTTACTCATTTCCCTTTCCCAAATAGACGTTCATTTATTTTGACACCTTGAGAAAACGAGACGATAAAATCTCCACAAAATCTATGGAAAGCTTTTGAAAAGATCTGAGAATCTCCTTCATTTCAATTCACACTATTGCTTTTCTTTTTCTTTGCCATTCTTCCATCAAATTGTCTCCATTCAATCTCACATCTGTTCACATTAGACTACAGTAATCCCTAAGTTGATTGACTACTGAAAAGCCTTTCGAACTAAAGTTATTCATTCTTGTCGACGGAAGTGTATATTTAATCTTTTTGTACCTGTGTTTCCTAACTGTAGTCTTACCATTTTTAGTTTTCTTTCTTTTTGTGTGAAATTATTGTAGCAATTTGTTATATGCGGTCATGATTATCTGATTCGCTTCTATTCGCCCCCTGAATAAAGCATATATATATATACCGTATTTTCTCTAATAGTAGCGCACCCGGGCGAGCCGAGTTGGTGACGATTTTACGGTTTCCAAGCTTTTGCAGATGCTCAACACTCAAATCCCCACTAGATCTCATCGTCAGCTTCATTTTCCGACCCCACATCGATAGGTTCTGATAAGCGGTTCTTGAGATTTCGAGCAATTTAGGCAACGCTCATGGTGCACTACTATTAGAGACCATCCCCCCTTCCCCACTCCAAAACTTTTCTAAACCAGGCAACCCGCCGCACACCCCCCAACCTAACCAAAGGGGTCCTTAAAATTTTACGTATTTCCCTTCGTACCCCCCTCGGCCCCCCTTTACGTCTTTCTTCCTTTCCCCTTTTCCCCCAAACCCACCCCCCCCCCCCCCCAAGATCCCCCATTCCTCTTTTTTTTCCCCCCCCCCAAAAATAATAATAAAAAGGGGTCCCAAAAATTCAAAAAATTAAAGAAAACCCAAGAAAAAAAAGAAAATACGGTATTCAACTTGATCAGAAATTTCAGTGTTGAGTAATAGGTTTAAAAGATTGCGAATTCTTCCATGTTTTAGTTTCAATTTTAGTGAAAGAACTCACTTTTTTCCACAAAATTTACATGACTTGTTGATGGAGTGGAGCTTATTGATGTGGATGATAAATCCGGTAGAAAAGTCGGTGATGGAGCTAGAATAGGAAAGATATCAGTTATCATTGAACAACACTCTTACAAGCAGTATCAATCATGATCGGCAATTCATTTGATGTTGATGATGTGGGGCTGGATTGTTCAACTCCATTTGTTTTCAATTGTCGCTCGATTTGATCGAGAGCTCGCCGCTTTGTGTTCAACGCACAAAGGGAACATCTAGAAATTGAGCAGAGAGTTTTTAGAAATCTGCTTTTAATTAGAAAAGGATTAATTTTCGAATAAATCAGAGTTTCAATTGAAAGACTAGTTTTCTCATAATGTTTTAAAAGTTTCGAAATTTCCAATGTTACTTATTGATTCTATGATCTGTTCTTTTTTTTATCTTTTGAATTTAAAAAAAAAAATGTTTGTTAAACCGCCTCTTTTTAAGGCAATGATTCTTTTATGATCTGTGATCTGTACGAATGTATCATCTTGATTATACGGCTCGTTTTTAAGGCAATGATTCTTTTATGATCTGTGATCTGTACGAATGTATCATGTTGATTATACGGCTCATTTTTAAGGCAATGATTCTTTTATGATCTGTGATCTGTACGAATGTATCATCTTGATTATACGGCTCGTTTTTAAAGCAACAACATTTGACTTTCATGGGAAAAAAAAGAGACGCGTAGCGAATAGAAATTAAGTGTAAAAAGCGTTTGTGGCTTTAAATTTTAAATTCTTTTACATGACTTTTAGAACGAGCTTTGTAATCAATATGATGAATCAACTTAAATTTACATAAAAACCGGTCGTCTTATCAATAAGTGCCTTTCCAATTTTCTCAGGCATTTTCTCTCTCCCGAAGCAATTAAATGCTAAAAGCTTATCCATAGATGTACCTTATTCTTATCAAAGTTCTCAAGTTTCACCTCAAGATCCCTCAAAAACTAATCTCTAAATCTAGATCTCCCCATCAAACCCCTTCCTCCTTTCATCACCTCAGGTGGTCCTCCTCATTCCAGTCTTTCCCTTTCCCATTGATGACCATTTCATCTCAATAATGGTGCAAAAAGTTGTCTGACAAACGTCCAATCGGCTATTCTCTTTATCTTTTCCCAATCTTTTCCTTTCCTTTCCTTTCCTTTCCTTTCCTTTCCTTTCTCTTTTCCATTTCACCCTACCGCACACACATTTCTGCACCCCGTCGATTTATGACCGAGCACTGAACAGGCGGCTTTAGCTTTAGCTTTTTTTTTACTTGCCCACAGAAATTTCTTCTCTTACTTTTCGTTATTTACCTTATCCGGGATCAGTTTTATAAACTAAATCTTGTAAAGTCTAGTACTAAAAAAGTGCAATTCTTGAAAAACTCACGGACATTCCTTGAAAAGGCATTTTTGTTTGTGTCCTTTTTTCGGTTGATTGTACACTCCATGATTTGCGCACAATTGGCACATGTATTGCTCTTTTGGCATAATTTGGATGAAAGATTTGCTGAAAGGGATGTGAATGGTAAGTGGAGTCAAATGAGATCTTACAAAGATCTGGGAAGAGTCCAAGCTTGGAATAACGAGCTTAAAAGTACAGAGTACAAAGAAAAAGTACAGAGAATCGTTATAGAAATTGTATATGGATACAGTAAATAAAGCAGAAACAGATTCGGGAGAAAAAAATGGATTCAAAATGCAAATGAAGTTCGATTTTCAATTACACAATCAATAAATAGCCAAAATGAATCAGAAATAGGTAAAAGAGTACGATAGGAGAAAGAGTGATTATTCAAGAATTATTTGAAGGATGAAGAGGTTGGATGGGGCGGGGCTGAACATTGAAATCCCCTTCACTTCACGTCCAATCCGGGACACCCATCTTCACAAGGGGGATGGCCTTCTTCTCTTTCAATCTCTCCATTTCAATCTCTCCCCATCTCACTCAAAAACCTCCCATTTCCTCTTGAAATCCCCATCGGATACGGTAAAATTTATTACCATTCGCCTCACAAATTGGCTTTTGAAGAGGATGGGAGAACGATTAGGCCTTGAAATATCAAAGTTTTTGGAGATCCATTCAAAATAGATCTTTAACTTCAAAGTCTTTAGAGATTGATCACTGGCGATTTGTTCTCTGTGCGGCTGTGTAGTCGCTCTCCATCTGGCATAATGCACCGGCATAAGGTGCTTCCCTTTTGGGCTTCTTATAAGAGAATGAGCGGTTAGCGGCTGAACCGGGTTCTCTCTTGTGGGCGTCATTATGCTCAAATTTTTGCATCAAATTTGCCTGTATCTTTGCTACAAAAATCACTTGAACCGGGTGTTGAAGTGGCTAAAATTTTGATCATTTTGAAAGAAAATGGAATGAGTTACGCGTTGGAAGGGTCCAAAAACAAGAAACATCGGATGAACATAAGAAAAACTTTTGTAGAAATTAAGGCAAAAAGGAGTTTGATTGGAAATATTCCAACTTTATGATGTAATGCTAAAGCATTTTTACAAAATGAATATTTTCAATGCTTGAGGCAAAACGGTTCAAAAATTAGACTCATAGCCAAACCAACTTAAGTGAATAGGCAAAAAAAAGAACAGAGAACAACGAATTGAGCTGTCAGCCGGCGGGTCGCTCATACAAATTATGGCAAATTGATTCCGGATGCACTAGGGCCAATCGAAGAAAAAAAAAGGAAAAAGGGAAAAGTGAAAAAAAATGGTGACAAGTTGACAAGTTGGTTGAAGAAAGAAATGGAAAGGAGGAAAGGGGACAAATCGGATTTTGGGTGAGGGAAATGAATAAATGGGGAAGAACCCAGCGGGAGATGTGAAAAAGGAGAAGGGGACTGTCGATAGGAGAATGAGATTTATGAGACTGTTGGGCTTGATCGAGAATGAATGACAGGCAATGGAATAAACGAGGCACAAGACAGGGACGTTCTTATCTTCAAGTTTAGAAGTGATTCAATATCAAATGGATAGCATTTAACTCGCTACCGTAAATACTGCAATAGTACCCCACCCCCCTCGTGCAGTCGCGTAGTTTTTTAGTATTTCATTTTTTTTCAAAGCGCCCGTACTTTCAAAAAATGCGTCTTTGGTATCAAAAAATAGCTGAAATTCAGGGCTATTTTTTGATACCTAAGCGCGCATTGCAGCATAAGCCAGTGTCGAGAAAAACTCGTTCAAAACTAGACTACACAACACTCCGCACCGTCATTATGGGCGTGAGGTACTATTAGAGTATTTATGGTAATTTGTTATCGAAAAGGAGCGTATTATAGAAAAATGCTGTAATCTAATCGACATTAATGCATTACTCTTAGAAAAAGTTACATAAATGATACCAAAATCGGGCTGATCATAAAGAAACTTTGATTTAGATGAGTCTTGAGTTTGCAGCCTGTAGATATGATAGTCCGTTATATTCTGTTAAAATATGGATAGTTTTTTCAAGACTTATTTAGCAGACTTACATAAAATTTACATAAATTGTCGATTAATTTGCAAATTTGCGTTTGGGGAATTTTTTTTGAGAAATTTGCACTTGCAAAAAATTCATTTCCCTTGATGTATTTCTATCGTCTTGTCGTTATCTTTTTGCTGTTGTGTAGCCTTTCAAAATGTATCCGCTTGAGAAAAATAGAGAAAACTGCAAAGTGCACAGAGGATATTCGCTATTTTAGCCAAAACAATTTATTTGGTTGGTAATATTTTATGGCTTATTGAGTTACCCCTCCCAAACCACCGGTAAATCTTTCCGGCACTGGCTTTGGTACTTTGGTGGTTGGGAGGGGCCACTTTTATTCTGGCTTATTTGGATCTAATATTTTGAGTGCTTGTATTGATAACTTTTATCTTTTCTAGGGTAATCAAATATGCTTACCGTAAATACTGTAATAGTACCCACCCCACGCCCATAATGACGATGCGGAGTGTTGCGTAGTCTAGCTTTGAGCTAGTTTTTTTCGACACTGGTTTATGCTACAATGCGCGCTTAGGTATCAAAAAATAGCCCTGAATTTCAGCTATTTTTTTTTAATATCAAAGACGCATTTTTGAAAGTAGGGGCGCTTTGAAAAAAAATGAAATACTAAAAAACTTTTGCGACTACGCGACTGTACGAGGGGGTGGGGTACTATTACAGTATTTACGGTAATAGATTGGTGACTATTTTAGCAAGTTTTTGGCTTGGCAATTCTAGCCTAATCTCATGCACTTTAACCACCAAACGCTACCTCAAAGCTGCTTACAATTGAAAAGCAACAAAAAAAGTGGCGATATGAAACTTGAAACATGTTGTAAAAAGCTCTAAAAGTATAACCATATTTGATTACCCTAGAATAGGTAGATAAAAGGTATCAATATAACCACTCAAAACATTAGATCCAACTAAGAAAGGATAAACGTGGCCCCCTCCCAATCACCAAAGTACCCAGGCTTTTTGCTTTGAGGATTCTAGACAAGTTGCAAAGATTAAATACAAAGCCAGGTACCTTTTCCTTGTGTTTTGGATGGGATTTAACAGCACAAGCGTCTAACTTTTTGAAAACCATCTTTAGCTAGTCCTTTTCTTTAACATTTTTTTTTCATTTTCAGCTGCTGAATGTATTACCTTGAGTGCTGTCAAGCGGGGATATCGATATTTTGGATACAAGGTTAGTCTATTTATAATTAGGTTGTCCAGAAAGTCTTTTCGTTCCTTTTCGTACTTTCGTTGAAAAATAACAAATTCACCAAGTAACCTATGATTTGTTTTATTAGAAGAGTCAGTTATTTTGCAGATTTTTCTGCAAAATAACATTAAAACGGGTTTAAAATGTCTTATGTCTGGATTTTTTTTGGGAGTCTGAAGTCGGGTAGTCAAAAAGGACGACGGCTCGATGATGCAGTTTAGACACTTTAGCTAAGGGAACCTATCTTGGTGTCAATAGATAAAAGATAGAGCATAAAAAGTTAGGTATATAGCTAAATTTTCCGAGAAATTAATTCAGCTAATTTCTTCGTAGAAGTTTTTATAGATTTTTACGAAAAACACGTGTTTTCACTCTCGAATTTGCTTGAAAGTCAACCCAAATTGACCTAAAAAGATAGAAAATTGAACAATAAACACTTTTTATTTAGAGCAAATCATAGGTTAATTGGTGAATTTGTTATTTTTTAATGGAAGTATGAAAAGGAACGAAAAGACTTTCTGAACAGCCTAATACGGGGGTGGGACAAATGCGACCTTTTTTTGCGCACCTGGACATTTGCGCACCTTTTTTGCTGGAAAGGCCTTAGGAAAGGTCGTAGAGCTTCAAAAATGTTTTCATAGAAGGGAATCGTATGCGTAGATTCCGAATTTCGACAAATCAGACCTCGCTGACACGTCAAATTTGGGCTAAAAGGCAAAAACTGCGGAAAAGCGTTAAGTTGCGTAGTTTTTGCATTTTAGCCCAAATTTGACGTGTCAGCGAGGTCTGATTTGTCAAAATTCTGAATCTACGCATACGATTCCCTTCTATGAAAACATTTTTGAAGCTCTACGACCTTTCCTAAGGCCTTTTCCAGCAAAAAAAAGGTCGCATTTGTCCCACCCCCCAAATTGACCTAAAAAGATAGGAAATTGAACAATAAACACTTTTTATTTAGAGCAAATCATAGGTTAATTGGTGAATTTGTTATTTTTTAATGGAAGGATGAAAAGGAACGAAAAGACTTTCTGAACAGCCTGATACATGTACTTCTCATTGCAATACTTGTTAGGGAAAATGAAATATCTCTAGGTATTTCCGTGTTTTTCAAAATATTGGACTATTGAGTAACAAATTTGCGCTCAAAACATTTAATTTTTGCGTTTATACACTTTTTATTGTCTTTGTTTTGTTTGTTTAGAATACGACAGTGGACGGTCGAGCGTGTGTTCCGTGGAATCGTGTCTGGCACTACTTTGCGTTGAACGAAATCACAGAGTTGGTTGTTTTTAGATACACATTTGCCTAGCACATCTGGAGTTTAAAAGTTTACACTTTAAAAACGCTTTAACAATTTGTGAAAAGAGTTTTATTAACGTGAATGAGCTTAATGTCTCAAATGTAATGATTGATTGATGATTCAAATGATTTTCTTTAGTTACCCGCGAATTCACGAGAGGCAAACACATAGCTATTGTCGTCAAGCTGCTGAGTAAGTAAAATGGCAGTGTTTAATCGTTTCCTTGTTATTTAGATACGATGCTCATCCGGATGTTTTTACATTTTCCTTTGATGGTTCACTGATGCCATATTGCTATGCCTATAAAAAGGATCAAGTGAGTATTGGGTTTATTTTTATCGGTTATAAATTCTTTTAGACAACCCTCGAGCCCGTGCTTTGCTTTAATCTTTGTAATAAAGCATGTGTAAAAGGAGGTTGTTTGCTTTTATATTATGAGCTTTATCATGTTCCTCTAGATCCTCCCGTTGTGCAGAAAATCGTACAAGTTGTCGATCCACCTGAACCCAATTACAACGAAGAGATACTCGATAATTTGGCGCACTATTTTAAGGGTTCGTTTAGAATTTTATTTACCTTTTGTGGTTACAGCCCTATTTGTGATATTTGATAGCGCCAATAATTTTGAAAGATTTGATAATATTAAAATTGAAAGTTCTTATTGACGATGTTAATCAATCGATGTTATTATTTTCTTTCAGCATACAATTGGGGAAGCGATGAAGCTATTCATCTTTACTATGATGAGGTCAACTTTGATTGTTTTTCAAATAACTATTATTTTAGCTTCAATCAACCATCAAACATTCGGAAGCTTTCCATAAAGGGAGAACTGGGGTAAGAAAACAGTTTTGAAGCATATAATTTTAATATTCTAAGTAAAGCAGCTAATTTCCTGATTTTTTTGTAGGCTTTCTTGGGAGCGCTCGTGTTTATGTTGATCATTTCTTTCTACTTCTTGGTCGTGTGCACTCTGAAACGGCGAGCGAGAAATAGTCGTGAAAAGAAAGACGCGGAGAAGGTGAGTGGGTTATATAGGGATTCTGATTGAACTTTTAATAACAATTAAATTAGGTTATTTAACAGTTCGTGCATTCTTAGTTTGGCTGATTATTTTATTTTTTAGGCAAACACGGGAAAGACGGCAACGCAAAATGCAATCACGAAAGCCACATCCACAACTTCCCAAAAAAAGTAATTTATCCGTTTTTGATTAATTATAATCATTTCTTTGTTTAAGGAATACATTGGTGAATAAAAATTAGTGCTTTGATTGCTCAAAAAATGCTGAACATTCGTCAAAAACAAAGAAAAGTTTATTCTCTCACAGGCGGTATTTTTTTGGATACAAAAAGAGGTTTTTGTAGAAATTTGTGAAAACCCTTAACGAAGGAAAACCGGATTTAAACAGGAGGGGAAAAGCCTGAAAACAAATTCACACGTATTATAGGGGAATTCTAGGGAAAGTGACGAGTAATTTAGTTGAAAAAGAGATTGGATGATTGGATCAGTGCATTCGTTTGCCATCTTTCTTCTGCACGCTTCGCAATGGCTCGCCCTAGACGACGATCTATTGAAAATATTGATATTGCGATTACAAAAGCCGAATTTGTGTGTTACGAAGCTCTGATTGGTGTTTATCGATTAGGATCTTTGCATAATTTAGTTCTTGTTACAGTATGCCAAACGAGAAACGAAAGTATTCAGTCTTATTGTTGAATACTTTCTGCTTTGTGACCTTTTAGTTTGCAAAGGAAAAGCTGATCAAGTTTACTCAAAGCTAATCAAGACCAAATTCTGTTTTCAAATCGATAAACACCAGGCTCAGAGTTCACGGAAATCAAATAAAAAAGACAGCGAAAGGCGTGATTAGCAGTGACTGATTTTGATTGAGTCTCAAACCTGAAGATATGGGTTGATCTTGTGAGCGGGCACTGATCGTTTACGACGACGGGGCTCCTAAAATTTGACAGTTCATGAACCAAAATCCACTTTTGCTTTAGAGTGATCAATTTGCTTTGATTCCTTTCCGCTTTCCAAGCAAATACAGCAAATAAATGGAATTTTACTAAAATTCAAATTGTGTGTCCAACTTGATGCAAAACCTTTTGACCAGTGAGAAACGGTAATTTATTTTTTTTAATCAAACCTCGTTGATGCTCTCGTGATATTTCTTTGCCATCATTGTTTTGTGGAGTCCTGAGTTGTCCAAAATGTCTTGAAGAGCCTCTTGGGCCTCGTCGGCGGATTTGGTGGCACAACTAAAATCGTTTTTCATCCATTTTCTACAAAAAACTTTAGCTATTGTTAATTTGTTTACTTGAACATGTGTTCTTGATCACAGAGACACTGTTGTTGAGCTTGGTATTCTCGGGAGAACTCGGCCGAATTCTCGAACTCTTCCAAGCATCTGTAAATGAGTTTTTAGTATGTCAATCGATACTCTATATAATTCTATATAATTCTATATAATTATAACTTTTTTTATGAGCGTAAATGTATTTTTTGAAACCAATAAACAAGCAAACCCATCAGACGAGGTGAATCCGACAGGGCACGGATTTGGGGGCTCACAATAGGCGGGGAGAACGTTGTCGGATTTGACCTGAAATTGCAGAATTTGTAAAAAAGTAAAACCTTTATACTGCACAGTTATGTTGCTAAAATCAAGAAATTCAGATATCTCAAGCTCTTGAACCGCTTTATACAGTTCAGGTTATGATTGAAGCCTATAGCCTGGATCCAGGCCAATGGCCAATAATCCAGATTTGATTTATGGTAACGCAAGCTGTTATCGCATTTCCCCAATAGTTCACCCTAAGCTTCACCTAGATTGCTCGAAATCTCGAAAAGCGCTTATTAGAATCTATCGATGTGGGGTCGGAAAATGTAGCTGACGATGAGATCTTGTGGGGGAGGAAAGTGTTAAGCTTCTGGGAAAAATTGGAGACCGTAAAATAGTCATCAACTCGGCTCACCGGGAAATATTAGGGAAATAGATCAGTCTGATCTACTAGCCTAATCTGGAATAATATACCGTCTTCTCTCTAATAGTAGTGCACCCTAAGCTTCACCTAGATTGCTCGAAATCTCGAAAAGCGCTTATTAGAACCTATCGATGTGGGGTCGGAAAATGTAGCTGACGATGAGATCTTGTGGGGGATTTGAGTGTTGAGCTTCTGTGAGAACTTGAAAACCGTAAAATTGGCATCAACTCGGCTCTGTTAGGGAAAATACGATATGGTGTGTAAACGGATAGTACAGCAGTCTTTGTGTTTAAAATCAAAACCGACGTCTTGTCTCTCTTTGAAGCCTTCGTCGTTCTTCAATTGTTGCTGACCCTCGCCGGCTCCACCTGCAAATGATTTGGTTATCTTTGGAGTGAAAGTCTCAATCTGAGCAATGAGTATTAATATGGCAAGTATTTTGAAATCTTTCCCCAGCCAACCAGTCATGTATTTGGCTCCGAAAGCGATTGGTCCAGGCACATTCTCGGCGTCTCGACTCATCAAATCGATAAAATCCCCCGATGGCATCATCGACATTTCATTTGGCTGAAAATCAAGAATGAAAGATTTAAATAATTTGCAGGCTATTCTAGTGAATCTTAGGAATCTAATTTGTTCAAAATATAGAAAAACGAGAATCAAAAATCCAGATATTTTATCATTAAAGTACGAAAAACCGGCTAATCTTTGACTGGTAGAGAAAATTTTGGCTTTTCATTCAGTAACAGTCTCACTTACCGTCTCCAAGTCGAGTGCTGATGAGATGACGATAATGAAAGGGAGAAGAAGAAGAAAAGAGAAGGAGATCATCTCTTTTCTCTTGTGGGGTTGAAAAGAATGAATTCGAGTGACGAGAAGGGGAGGGGGGAGGAGGGGAGAAGGCCCACGAGGCACTCGATCAATACCCACAACGGGCATTCAAGAAGGAGGCCCCTAGAGGGCCCTAGATCTTTTCTATTCCTCTTCTACAACCTTTTCTCTTCCTTTCTCTTCCTTCTCTTCCTTTCTCTTCTTTCTCTTCCCATCCTCTTCACTCCAATCTATTCCCTTTCCCTCCATATTAAATTTCCGTTTCTCTCAAAAAAATCAAAAAGTCGAACGGGGAAATTACAAAATTATAACCTGTTTTTGACGCGAGATAATGATGAGATTTACCAATAGAGAAATTGAGAAAGAATTTGTGCTCAAAGACACACAAAAAACGATTGCATTCCTCTACACTTCCTCTTACCATGCCAATCCCTTAAAGGGGTATTCCGGTCCCCAGCGAAATCCGAACCATTATAAGCCGTTCTCAGCGACCGGGGCGCGCTACTGGTTTAGCCGAATGGTTAGTGTTCTTGCCAGAGGCCAACCTTCGACGGTTCGAATCCGGCTCTTTTTCCATTTGGCTTTTGCTTTTTTTTGTTTTTCATTAGATTTTCATGGAGCGATTAGCTGAGGCAAAGGTCCTTACGAATATGTAGAATTATTACCCTTTCATTAACGGAAGCTAAGAAAAAAAAAACCAAGTTTTTAATTAATACTTCCCCATCGTCCTACCTTTTAGAAATCATTGAAAATCGCAGAAATTTTGATTCGAATTGGCTGATAGTAATTTTGTTAATACTTTTTAAATAACTTTTTGTTCTGTAGACATAGAACATTGAAGTCAAAAAAACTATTTTCCTAAATACCTTTTAAGTATAAATAATCAACCGTCAACTAGAAACATTTTTCTTCGGAACTCATTATTATGTGTGCTAGAGAGTGTTAAAAGAAAAAAGATATAAAGAAGGGTTAGAAAAGGCGAAAAACTTAATAAAAGGTGACAAAGGTATGAAAAGAAAGAAAAAAAAACTCCTTAAATACCCTAAAACAAAATCGTTAATCAACTTTCAGTTGTTTAGCTGAATATCTTTAACAGGCTTTTGCTAGTGCTTACCGGGCGAGAAATTGTTGCCGTGGTTTAGACAAAAACTACGGTAGAATTAATTCTGGTACATAAAAGTTCCGTCACATTGCATTTTCGACTCCCAAACGCATTTTTTGACAGTTTTTCATAGTTTTTCCGGGATTTTTAGTGTTTTCAAGGTTTTTCTTTATGCAATCCTTGTAGAGGACATTGAAACGCGTCGATTGATATACAAATAGTCGTGCTTCTAGAAAATCACTTTTGGAGCCGGAGTACCCCTTTAAGCACGTTGGATTGTGCTAATAATTTGTGCTTTTTATAAATCCCTAAGCACAAGTTGCACATCAATAGGTGTCACTGGTTTTTTTTAAAAATATCTTTTCATTTCCTTGTCTCTCTTTTCATTTTTCTCTTCTTTACACTCTCTCGATCACTTCTGGGACCTCATTTGTTGGTCTATTCAAAAAGGAACTCAATCGAGAAAAGAAAAAAAAGGACACTGAAAGGAAAACGAACGTAAAAGACTAAAAAGACGAAAATGTTTTTTTTTTCTGGTTGCATAAATTTTCGGGAAAATTTATTTTCATTAACAGAATTTTGTGGAAAAGAAAAGGGTAAATGGTGGAAATTTAGTTATCGAATCATTTACTGAAAAGAAATATGATAAGGAACATGAAAAATTTCAAAGAAGCAAAAAAAATGCGATGTGAACTCATTATTCGGAAAGAAACAGGAAGAAAAAAAAATGATATTTTGACGTTTTGAAGATTCGGTAAAGTTCTGGTATGCCAAGAAAGTATTCAGGAATCTCTTCAAGATATTTTGAAGATATTCCTGATTACTATAATGATAGAAAAAGAACTTTATCGTAGCTCTAAAGAAAAAGGGTTTAATTTTTCAACTATCTCCTTCATCTTTGTTGTGAGCGCGAGCCTCCTGGACAAAGCCTGAAAATTGTTGGCTTGATAAAATCTCTTAAAAAAATTTTAAGGCCTTTGGAGGAAGGTCGTAGAGCTTCAAAAATGTTTTCATAGAAGGAAATACGTAGACGCACGAATTTCGACAAACCCCTTCAATCTACACCTATCCACCCCCCTAAAAAAAAATCACAAAATTATAAAATTATTTATTTATTTATTTAAGAAGTTTGATGCATTATAATTCCACTTTCCCTTTTAAAAAGCAAAAGAAAATTTACTAAACCCTGCTCCTTTCCCCGCGCGCCGAGAGCTAAGCCCAGCTAGCTTTTTGCCAATAGCTACGCACAGACGGACAGACGTCCCTTCTGCTTTATATATAGTAGATAAAAGGATTCATTTATGTAAGAAGTTTGATGCTTTCCAACCCTCTTTCATCTCGCGCACAATCTCGTTCATCAGCTTGTTCCATCCGAGACGAATGTTGCAATTGTTTGTGTCATACGGGCTCATGATAGCCTGATCCTGTAGATAATTTTTTGCTTATCTTGATTATATAAGCATATTGAAAATATTCGATATTGAAAATCTAAGCTTAAGCTTTGTAAAAATTCGTAAAAATTTCCCCCAAAAACCCACGAGAAACTCTGTATGTCCACCGTCTTTCTCGAGCAAATGTTGAGTCTTCTCGGCCTGAAAAGTTTCAAAAGATTAAGAAGGAGACTTATCTGATAGCTGTTATATATATTTTTTAATATCTTAACTTATATTTATCTACATTTATTCACATAAATAATGTGATAAAAACAATACACAAGCACAACTTCTAAGCCTTAAATGTAGGGGAAAAAAGAGCTAATAATCTAGCAGGGATTGAATCATGAACCAGATTCCGATTAAGATACAGGGTTGTTAGCTAGTCGACCATGACGGCTAGGGATTGCAGATGTTTTCTGTTAATTAAAGCTTACCACGTCGATAATTTCATCGGCTGTAACTTTCTTGAAAACTGTATAAGAGTCGGATCCAAAGTTGACTCCCCTGAAGAAAAGATTTAAATAGAAATTTAAATAGAAATTTACTTATAATAGTATTTATTCAAATAAAAGCTTGTAGTAGTATTTCTATGAATAAAAACTTACTTGTAGTAATGAATTTGTCCGATTCGTTTTGCCATTGCGAAGACTGAAGCCGTCGGGCAAAGGCCGAGCGATGAAACGGTGGTGTCGAGGAAATTCTGGATGCGACAAGCCTGGAAATCCGATGAGAATACTGTCACTTATACGAGATGATTGTAAAGATTGTAAAGATTGTAAAGATTATTCTTTGATCTCTAATATTTGCAATATCTCTACTCACTTGCAGTTGGAACAACGTGTTCGAAGTCATTCTGCCGTCCATCACTTCCTCTTCCGAAATGCCATACATTTGCGCGAATTGCGGTCTTTTCTCTAGTAAAGTGCCCAGAATTTTGCGACCAATTTGAGCGTGTTTTGCTCTAAAATAATTGCTAATTGGCATTGCTAATTGGTGATTTTAAACTGCGATATTTGAAAGTTTAAAATCGTTAAAATATTGTAAAGTTCCAATACTAACTGGTAGTATTTCAAAAGAAAACTTAGAAGAAAACTATCTACAAAATAAAGCATCTACAGTACTGGACAATGAAATATCATATTTGAAAAACGATCGTCACTTTCGCGCGTTTGTAACTCCCTTGTCTTTACCGTATTTCTAAATATTAATATTACCCTTGAAAAGAGCTTTCAGAAAATGTATAACACTAATAGTGTATAAACTCGTTCAAAGCTAGACTACGCAATGCTCCGCACCGTCATTATGGGGGTGGGGTACTATTACAGTATTTACGGCATGTACACTACTGGAAAATGAAATATCATATTTGAAAAACGATCGTCACTTTCGCGCGTCTGTAACTCCCTTGTCTTTGAGTTTAAACTATTAGTGTTATACATTTTCTGAAAGCTCTTTTCAAGGGCTACACAATGGTAAGATTAATATTTAGAAATACGGTAAAGACAAGGGAGTTACAGACGCGCGAAAGTGACGATCGTTTTTTAAATATGATATTTCATTGTCCAGTAGTGTACATCCTTATCAGCTGAATATCAATAACAATTCAAAACTTTTTTTTTTAAACAAACCTTTTCCATGACTCTTTCACCGCCTCGATTTCTTCAGGTGTAAGCCGAGTTTTCGCCTCGATATGTGAAGCGCAAGCGCCCATTGCTTTACGCTAAATGTTTTGAATATGATACCGTAATCTTTTGATTAAGAAAACTCTATTTGAAACTAGACAAAGATCAGTGCTAGAACACAAAATATGAAAATGATGTTGTAAATGAAAAGTTCTTAGAAAAACTTACGAAAATCCAGTCAAACATGCAGAAGAGCTGAAAGAAAACTCCTCGATTTCAGATGGGAAACACTTTTCTTTCTTTATGCTTAAATGAGACTTTAACCGTAATGATTTCAATTTGAAATTTGAAATTTGTTGAGGCAATTTGAGGCCGGTAATCCTCGACAAATGATTTTTTGATGAGATGATGGGGGAAATGAGATTCCTTTCCTTTCCTTGACTATTTTTTCTTTTTTTCTAATCCAACAAGATTTTCTTCTTCTTTCAATCACGAAACGGAAAGCTAGGAACTAATTTGGTTCAGTGAAGAGGTTTTTTCAAAGTCTAGTAAGATCAGGGATTATTCAATTGTAATTTAGATCAGTCCAGACAAGGTAAGACCATAGCCAGGTCATAGCCAGGTCTGAATCCAAGTCTAGTTTCTGTCCAGATTCCCAGAGACTTTTTACATGCCTAGGCAAAGCCAGTCCAGATAAGAGCTGCCTTCTGACTTGCTTGAATCTAAATTCTTTTGAAAGCAGTTAAGGTTTTTTGAAGGTTTATCACAATTCTAAAGGATAGATAAGTTCGAAAAGATAACCCAAAAACTCACTTTTCCAAAGTTGACCTGAATGAGCTTTTGGTGAAGAATGGTCTTCACCAAGCGAACATTCTTTCAACCGCAATTTTTTCTTCTAAACTCCAAAAAACTTCACTTGCCGATTTCAAGCAATTTCTCTAAAAGGCTCTTCGAATATTTTGACTTTTGAGTGGTTTTGATTTGAATATTTCATAGGGTGAAACTCGTGAACGACGCGTTCCACATAAGCCACAAAGACTGACTGATTTGGTGGTGGAAAAAAAAGGTGAACTCGATAAACATGGAGATGAAGACAAGAAGAGGAAACTTGGAAATGAAAAGATGGGAATACTTTTGAAAAATGATCATCAAAGAAATGATGATGTTAAAGGAAAGGAAAATGATTCTAAATCTGGCGATAAAGAATTGAGGCTTCAGAGCTGAGATTATCAAAGAAGTGATAATGTTAAAGGAAAGGAAAGTGATTCTAAATCTGGCGATAAAGAATCGAAGCTTCAGAGCTGAAATAGGGTGGCTGTTTCCTGTTTGAAAAAAAGTCCTGTTTCCTTTTAAAATGGGTAATTTTGATAGAAACTTTTGAAATTTCAGCTAAATAGTGTTGATTTTCAGTTACTCCATAAATTTTTTGACCTTAAGGGTGTTAAATTTTGAGATAGCTAGCTTTAATTAGGCAATATTTATGTGCCGTAAAAACTCTAATAGAACGGCCCCTATAGGAGCGTCGTGTAGTCTAAGTTTACTCTCAAACAAACGCTCAAATCTCGACACCAGTACTTTTGTTTCTGCGCGTTTAGGTATCAAATTAAAGTAGAGAGGATAAGTGATTTTATGAGATATAACACATATTTTTAGCATTAACCAGAGCTTAGAAAAATGATTGGAAAGTGGCAAAAAAAGTCGATTTCGCCACTTTTTAATCATTTTTTTCTAAGCGCTGGTTAATGCTAAAAATCTGTGTAAGTAACTCAGGGGGGGTCTAAAAAAATGGTGCACCCAAATTTGTCTTTGGCTTTAATTGTGATTCTTTAAATGATACAGGAACAAATGTAGTGCTGTCGGAGATTGTGACTGTTTATTTAGAGTAAACTTAGAATACACTAAGCTAATATTGGGCTTTATTAGAGTTTTGACGGTATAGATATCTTAATGGAAATGAATCACGAGTTGGACTATTTCAGTCACATACATTTAAAAAGATGATAATTGAGATACAAAAGTCTAGTAGTGATTGTGAATTTCACTCTGAATCGATAAATAAAGCACCGATTTTGAGATAGCCGACAAACATAAAAGTGCATCGTATGTCTGCTTCAAATGTCTGCTGCTTCGTTTGACAAATTCAGCTTCGATAAACCAGTTTAATCGGATTTTAATTACATTCATTTGTTTACTTTCTTAATATCTTTTAGTTTAGTCATTATATTTCTAGATGTCGTTTCTCAAAAATCCGTACAGCTGAGCTTTGGGATCTCCGTATCCCTTCTACCTTTCCCAATGTCCCCTCTAGCAACCATGACTCCTTCACCCCCACAACAAAAACATACACTAGCTCTTTTTTTATCCTGATCTTCTTTTTCTTTGTCTTCAAAAAAACCCCTCTTAAAAAACGAGCCGTTTATATAATTTTTTTTTTTCAGAGATGAGCGATGATTTTTTGGGAAACATTGATATTTTCACTTGTCATTCTCATTTCTGAATGTTGTCGATGGCCGAATTCGGATGTGCTTTTCATTATCGATTCTTCTCTGCACATAAAACCCGCCGATTTTCAGAGAGAGCTCGATTTTGTAGCCAAGGTAAGTGGCCCAATCAATTAACATTAAAGTCTAGCGTTTATGACTGACGTCTATGACGTCTATTTAAAGTAATTCTTGAAAGGATTTCCAGTCGATCGATCAAATGGATCTTTCCCCAGCTGGTTCTCGTGTCTCACTCGCCATGTTTACTCCAATGGGTCGTTTCGTTTTCCCGTTCTCCGATCAGGCTAATCGACGGGATCTTCAATCGCGCATTCAGGTGAAACAAAATGCAATCCTCAAAAAGAGAACGTCAAAGTCAGTTGAGAAATGACAAATTTGGAAGGGCAAGTACATTATATTTGTTGGTTCCTCCATTATCCCCCTCCCCACCCCCCTTTCCCTTGTACCCCTTTACCCCCCCCGAAACCCTTCACCCAATCCCAATACCATAACTGGCACACCCCCCCGTCCCCATATCCCCCCCCAGCCCCCTACACCCCCCCACCTCTTCCCGTAAACCCCCCACCCCCTCCCCCCCCCCCCCCCCCCCACCCCCAACCCCCATCCCCTCCCCCCCTCCCACCCCCCCCAACCCCCCTACACCCCCATCCCCCGTACCCCCCTCTACACCTAATACCCCTTACTATACCTATTACCCCTTTACCCCCCCTAACCCCGGAAAACCCTTCTTTCCTTCTAAAATTCTTGTTCCCTTGTAAACTCCTAATCCAGTAATCCCTTAATAATCTATTATCCTTCTGAACCCCGTTAATTTCATTCAATTTGTTATATTTTTTTATAATATTTTTTTTATTTTTTTTTTTTTTTTTTTTTTTTTTTCCTTTTACTTATTATTTATATTTTTTTTTTTATAAAAAAAAAAAAAAAAAAATTAAATTTTAAATATAATAATAAAATAATAAATATTATCTTAAAATAAAAATAAAATATTATTTTTTTTTTTTAAAAAATTTTTTTTTTTTATTTTATTTTTTTTTGTTTTTTTTTTTGGGGAAGGGTTTTTTTTTTAAACTTTTGGACCCTACTGTAAATTTACCCAATACAATGACTCATTCAAAAACAATCCAAAATCCAATTTTTGTATTCAGTCTACCACTTATGCTCCATGCGATCCAAACACGAGTCCAACCCGTTGTCTCCCGTGTGCCAGTGTAAATTCGATTGCCAAGTTTGCTCTAGCGCAAGTTAGTACAAGAATTTAAAGTTTATGAGTAGAATGGATTCATTTATCTCTAGGGTAATGAATCCATTTGATTCATTGAATTGAATCCAGAACTATTTAGGGTAATCGAAAGCCGTTTCCCGATGTGATCGTCGTGATCTCTGGGGGAAAATATCAGATTCCCGAGTTGGTTCGTGAGATTTTGATTGATAAATTGGATAAATATAGCACTCGATTTCAGCTAAACAAAGAGGTGCTCTTGTCTCCAAACTCTCCAATTCATGCTTTCTATATTCTCGTCGATGGAACGTATCCCCAGATTGCTGATCAACACTATGCAGCCACTGCCAATACTTTGAAAGTAAAGTCGATAAAATAGTTGATTTTTCGGTTTCCTGTGTTTCTCACAGAATTCTCATAGATTTTTTGCAGTTAACTGCCCATGATTTCGACTCCCTTTCGCGTCTTTCACTTCCACTCTGCCAATCTGCCATCACTTTTGTGAATAGAAGTGAGTTGAGTGGGTAATCGTGCTTGTCAGAAAGGCAAATTTTTCCGGTTCAACTTTTTCGTTCCAAGCCAGTTATATTTTATTGAGCTTTGTCTTATTCAGGCCCATTGTCTTGTCCTTTTATTAAGCGTCCATTCATTGCCTCCAGGCTTAGGATGACGGACAAGCGGAAGGCTCCACTTGTCCGTCGGTCCGCTTGATCTTCTCAGATTAGTCTTAGATTAATAAAGCAAAGAAATTAAAGGTGAAAATTTGGAACCGAGGGGGATTGGATTCAGGACCTTCTTGTTTACCTTCTGCTTACCAGGGAGATGTTCTACCACTGATCTATCCGCGCCGGTTTTATCCAGGACTACCACTGAGCCATCTGCGCCGGTTTTATCCAGGACGAAATAGGAAAGACAAGGAAGAAAGAGAAATAAATAAATATCCGGGCCTTCAGAACCGAATGGCAAAGAAGATTAAACCCAATTGATCTACCCAAGTCCAAATTTCAAACCCGAAATCTATTCAAGTCTAAATTCCCGTGATTTGGACTCAGTATTCACAACCAAAAGGGTATAACTTTAGAAGAAATAATCAAATCATGAATCAAGATGATACATTACTTTTAAAGTCACTATTTTCGGTCACGATTAGCATCCATCATTTCTCCTTTATGCTTTCTTCTTGGTGTTCCTTCGAGCTCTTCACAACCATTTCCAACTATACAAATCCTCCTTATTTTGTTCTCTTTTCAACTTCACCCTCACTTTATTTTTTTTTCTTTTCGTCTTTTCCTTTCTTAAAAATCTCTAGGCGACCTTTTCAATGCCGTTTTTAGTCGCATTTAAAATTCAACTCAAAAAAAGAAAACACTAAATAGCTAAATAGCTAAATAGCTAAATATTTCGTTATTTTTTTGACTAGCTACACTTTACTGAAATGGATCCAAACGTTGATTTGTCTTGGTGGAATTATTTGAATTGGAATATCACTAAATGTACAAAGTACAGCGATGATCGGAGTGTTTCGTGGACTTTACCATGTGGGTTTTGTTGAGCTGATGGCATTTAGACGACATTTAGACTTTCTGAATGTACTGAGAAAGTTAACTCTGACAAATACGGTAACTTTTAAAGATCTTCAATTAAAACTCGTTTCCTCAACTTGCTAATTGAGTGATTCTGAACAATTCTGAATTGAGTGACAAGTTTTTGTTTCTCTGAACAAGGCTAAGGGAAAAGCAAGGGTTAAATGAAGAATAGAATGTAAAAAACGCTTTCGGTACCGAAGGCTTAACTTAAGAGTAATACTAAGCCTAGATAGATACCTAACCCTTAGATAGCTAAGGGTTAGGTATCTAACCATTAGCTAACTAAGTTTTTTTTCAGGTAATGCCACTCATCCCTTCGCTTTCGGTACTCTTTGTTGGATTGTGACGACTCTTCTCTTTATCGTCTTTCTTCTCACTTGTTGTTGTCTTCTTTATGCTGTATATGTTTATCGAGAAGATAGTGAGTGATATTGGAAATTTCTTATCTAAAAGAAAAATCTCTTAGATAAGCGCTTGAAATATGAATACGCGGAAGTTGAGCGAAATCTTCGTAAACAAAACGAATATTTCACTGCGAGGATTCATCGACAAATGGAAGAGCAAATGAAATTGAATGAGAAACATCAAGTATACGAAGAAAAGAAATCGATTAATACATTAAAAACGACATTATTTTTAGCGTACAGTCGCGTAGTTGTTTACTGTTTAACTAATTTGGTGTAAATTTAAAGATTCAGACTATTATAGCCGAGAATCTCCTCTTGAAACAAGTAGTAATCAAGAGTTTTCTATAAAATCAATAATAAATGGCCTTTAAAACTTTATATCAAAAATAATTGTTATTAATGAGTGGTGAATGTGTTAAAGAATATAGAAATACCGTAAATACTGTAATAGTACCCCACCCGCATAATGACGGTGCGGAGTGTTGCGTAGTCTAGCTTTGAACGAGTTTTTCTCGACACTGGTTTATGCTACAATGCGTAAATAGGTATCAAAAAATAGCCCTGAATTTCAGCTATTTTTTGATATCAAAGACGTATTTTTTTGAAAGTACGGGCGCTTTGAAAAAAATGAAATACTAAAAAACTTTTGCGACTACGCGACTGTACGAGGGGGGTGGGGTACTATTACAGTATTTACGGTATATATATTTTTTTATACTTTAACGTTACAGGAAGAAGTTCGACGTACACAAGGCGAGCTTAAAGCGGCTAAAGAACATGAAAAGGTAAGGTTAAGATTTATGTTTGGAAATGGTTGCCCAAAATTTTGTAAATCCGAATTTTATTAGGGTTTTTCTAACGGGATCAGGTTATAAATGAGGAAAAGAGTTAGATTGAAAACTCGTTTCTGATGAGTATACCAGGTATTTATGAAACATAAAAGCCCAGTTACTAATAAATATGCTTCTGGATTAGAAACTTTGCCTATGTTTTCATTCAAATCTTTTCCGATTTCAGATCCGAAGCGAGGCAGCTGAAAAAGCGGCTGTGGCAGAGTTGGCGGCTGCAAAAACACGCGAACAACCACAACCAATCATTATTTATGGACAGCCGATGATTGGTGGGAAAATGATACCACCAAAGCCTTTGTCTCCATCGAAAAATCCCCCAATCACCCAAAAAACCCTTCGTGAAATAATTCCGTCGAGGCATGCTGTGTCGGCTCAATTCCCCGAGTTACCTATAAGTGATGTGAGAAAAAATGAGCAAAGTCAAACAAATGAATTATTGATTCCCGATCAAAGGCAGAGATTAGCTCATTTGAATACGGAGAGTTCAGTAGCGAGAAATACCGGTGAAGCTTTTATGAATAGTGTTTTCCCGGATGCTGTCCCGAGAAATACAACAGCTTGAATTCAACCTGTTGCTTTTTGAGTCACTCAATTTTTGTCTTTGAAAATTGTAATCTTTTTTTTAAAATAAATATTTTCCTCAAGTTGTTCAGTTTAAAAAATGCATTAAAAAAAACAATTTGAGGGAAATGTTTATTGAGAAAAAACAAGGAAAAACATAAATGATTTCGGGATTTTTTTTACTTGTAAAAAAGACAGTCAGATTACGGTAGGATCTGTAAAAGACCTGCAAAAGACAGTCAGTTTACGGTAGCTTTTTAGACACCTCTTAGAAAACATTTTCCTTTTTTCTTGAGATAATTGATCTACCCTAAAGTCGCGAGTATAAGTTCTGTTTGGTTTTCGCATGCAAATTGACGGCTGTCTCCGGTGCGGTGTGTCGAGGGTTCGAACCCCGCTGCAACATAACTTTTTTGCTTTTTAAGAACAATAATAGAAGTAAATTTATTGAGGGTTATAACAATTTTATGCTGTTATTTGTTGCTCCGGGCGTCCGCTCTGCTCCTCTCCGGTGCTCAGTCTTATGGATCCCTCCTGGCCTCTTCATCCGGCCAAAGTCCACGTCGACGGTCGAAAGAGATGCTTTCCAGCGTCTTCTTCAACACTATCGTCTGGATGTATCCATGCACATAACAAATAGCAATGGTGATAGGCTGTCACCCTGTAGTATCCCGCGCTCCAAGAACAATAATAAAAGTTTATATAGCAATAAAAATGTATAAAAACCCAAGAAAAAGAAATTCAAAGCAATGAAAGCTAATGTAAATTAAGGCAGAACTTATACTCGGATGAACTTATACTCGAGACTTTAGGGTAATAAAGATTGATAATAGAATTTAGACTCTCAAAATGATCGGAAGACAAGAGATTCGAATAGTCGAGACTCGAATGGGAATCGGAAACGGTAAGTGAGGAAAAAAGGCTAACAATCCAAAGGTTTGCTTCTTTTTATTGAAACTTCTTCATATTAAGATATTCAGCTAATGTATGCCGTGTAAATTTCAGTCCGAATTCTCGTTGGCGAATGCGTTTCGATCCGCGATTCGATCGCCATGTCACTCCGGATATCGAAGAATTCAGGAAATGGTGGAGGGATCCACACGGAAAATTGCCACAATCTTTCAGAGATTGGTGGAGGTTAGAGATTTAAATTTCTTGCGTAAAAGAAATATTGGGTTGGTGAGTTGAAAACTGCCTTTGAAACTTTGAACTAAAATTTATTGAACATAAAACCATGAATTCATTCCAAATAATTTCCATTATTATTGACGACTTCTGCCAATTTTACAGGCGATTTGCGGATTCCTCTTTCGTAGTTGGATTTTGGTTTGTGTGTGAGACAAGTGTTAGACTCAAAAATCGAGAACTGGAGATGTCCCAGTTTGAGCACTTTCTTCAAAAGAAACCCATTTTGGTGTCAATAGAAAAGTTGTAGAGAATCAAAAATGAGGCTTATAGCCAAATTTCCAAAAAGATACACTTAGTAGTTTCGCTTAAAATGCAAGTTTTGTGAAAATTTGTCAATTTGGCATTTCTTGAAAACCAGTTTTTGAATCGTGCTGAAAATTTGGATAGAAGCTTGATTTTTGATTCTCTACAACTTTTCCATTGACACCAAAATGGATTTCTTTTGAAGAAAATGCTTAAACTTTGACATATAACAATAGCCCGCAGTTTTCAATTCACCAATCCAATAGATTCGTTGAACCAAAATTTTAGCGACAATCCTCATCTACAAGATCCACGACGAACCCATTCCGCAAAGAATTCTCAAGACGGAAAACAGGAAGGAAATGAGGATGAAGGAAAAGAAGAAGAAAAAGAAAAAGATCTGGAGGTTAGAATTTTTTCAAAGTTTTTTTTTATGGCAAAGTTTAGAAAGAAATGAAAGAGGCTCATCGTAAAGAACGGGAAGAGAAACGAAAGAAATTTGAAGAATGGAAAGAAAAACAAATCAAGAATGGAAGTTAGTTGATTTAGAGCAAATGTTAAAAGTATAATTATTTAAAAATTCAGCATAATGAGCAAATTTCAGCTTGGAAACCGGGTGACTACGAGCGCTTGCAAAAGGAGATTGATGATGATGGGAGTACGGTGAGTGGGCCGAGCACCGATAGTGATTATTCGATACCCGTCGGGCAATTGTCAAGGTAAATTTCAGATAAAACAATAATGCTAAAGTAGTTGAGTGGAAATTAAGCTAAGAAATCGATTTCCAGAGATCATCCATCTCGTTCCCTTCCACCAGTCGATATTCTCTTCCTCGTTGACACCTCCAGCTCCATTGGGATTCAGAATTTCGATAAGGTATTTGTAATGGAGATTTCGTATGGAATTTTAAATCGACCAATCGAATCGATCTCGTTTAAAGCCAAAGATTTGCTCTCGAAGTGTACTTTGTCAAAAATCGAAACTCATCCCTTTTCGTGTAACTCAAATCACAAGGGAAAGGACAAATGAAATATGGGTTACATTATTAGACAAATGAAATAAGCCATATTTCATTGGCCGTCGAATTTCATAAATCTCAAGTATAGTATAAACATTTCAAATAGTTTAAAGGCCAGTTAAAAGGTGTTAAAACAAATCAACGAATCAAAAGTTTTGCCAGAAAGGACTCGAACTCGAGCAAGAAAATCAAAGGCTCGTTTTGTAAGCAAGCGTCTTATCCACTACACCACCCCGTCACCTAAGAGGGGCGAGAGAAAACAGTTATAGAGGGCCGTGACAAAACGGTTATAAAGGCTCCAAATTTTCTCATTTTCACCCTAAAACTTAAAACACATAACTTTTATAGAAAGCAATTTTGCAGAAACGGAAAACAGATTCAGTGTGAAATTCTGCGTTTAATGGCTTATCTTATTTGGGCACATCCATTTTTGCTTTTCTCTTGTCAACTCAACAAGAATACACAAGAAAAACAGTCAGAAAGAGGGTTTTTCAAGTGGATTTTCATTTCATTTGACTCTAGTTTTCTGCCAAACTATTCAATTGAGAACTTTCAGATGAAAGCTGGAGTGAATGCGATCATCGAGGACGTTGATGTGGCGCCGGGTCGATCGCGAGTGGCTGTCGTTCAATTCTCTGCCGAGCCACAAGTCGTCTTCGGTTTCGACAAATATTTCACCACTCAGAGTGTCCAAAGTGAGACTTAAAGTCATTGATAACTCGATCATGATTTCCCAGAAGCTATCAATCGAATCATTTACACTGGCGGTCCAACGCATCTCTCGAAAGCGCTTAGTTTCACGGCCGGTGTTCTGTATAAAGAACAGAATATGGCCGACGGGAAACACAGAAGACACAAATTGGCAAAAACTCCTAGACACGATCGATTACAAGTTTGAGAAAAAAAAATGACTATGCTTTGAAAAATGATCGTGATTAGGTGCTTTGTGTAGCATCAGATGGATCATCGGAGGATAATGTGGCCAAATCGACATCGATGTTGCATGAGAGGTTACAGGTGGGATTCGGATGGAGATCTTCAGTGATCTTTGCCTGAATAACTTAGATTGTTGGCTTATAAAATACTGACAAGTGCTTATATAGGATCTTTAGGCTCTAGCATCTTTATAGTTAGATCTTTATAGATCTTTATAGGTCAAGTTAAGTTCATGGGAAAGCCTAATGGCCTGACTCCTTTTAAACCTAACTATTGATAAATTCATCTAATAAAAAGTTATCTAATATCTATTGATAAAGTTATCTAAAAATATTAGTTTTCAAATCTCAAAACTTAGATCAAAGTCTGTGCCTTGGTGACACGAGCATTCCATCGAGAAAAGCTCGAGGAAATCACTCGTTTCGATGGCGCAATTTTTGTAATCGATCAGAAGGAAGCTGTGAATATTTGGCTGTGGAGACAACAGGTTATAAAGCTTAAAGAAAATTTTAAAAGTACAATTACAGCGTCTCTGGGCAGACACATATTCAAAATATTTAAAACGAGAGAAATCGATGCCCCTTTCGACGAAAAGAAGTCCGAAGAAGACGAGAATCGATGACAAAGCATGATCGTTTTGAAATAAATCTTGAATATAAATAAAAACTCAATTGTGTTTAACAATTAACAATGACAGATCAAAAAAAAAATGGTCACTAAAATCAATCATTGAAATGAATGGGTAATTTGTTAAAAGAGATCTTGATTGAAAGATTAAAGTCTGCTCAAACTATCGTAGGTGATGATGGCTATAAAATTACTTCACAGAGCCAATTTCTTTTTTGCTTTAAAACAATCCGGAAGTGATTTTAATTTTCTAAACAATAACATCCATTATTTTCCTTTTTTGAAAACAGATAATTTCAGTTCCTTCTCTCTTTTTGAATGACTCATTAGAGATCTTTTGAAAGTGATTGATTGCCGTTCGAAATTGCTTTTTTCTATTACCACAACTTGTTTTCTCTATAAACGAATGCTATAAAATGATAAGAAACACGGAAAAATGTAGAGATTTTAACAAAATGTTATCGAAATTGTTATTTTTACTTGGTGTATCAAGTATTTTTGCGCTTGCATCCGTCGAAAATGATCAAATAAGTAAGTAACTTTTAAAAGTTAATAAAAATAGAACTTATTAAAGTGAAAACAAGCTTACAATTAGCATATTTGTATCTAAAACTTTCATTTTTAGATTGGGCTTGCGCTCCAGGGACCTCAAATTGTTTCTGGGTTTCGGTGAGCCTTTCAATTTCTCTTTTTTTCATTTTCAATTTCAATTTCTCTGAGAAAACCCAAAAGTGGCCAATTGTCTTTAGCTTTTCTTTAGATTACTTTAAATAATTTTAATTTTAAAACTATTCAGCCTTTTGAATATGAGAAATCGGGCGGGTGGAAGCTTTTCTCGTGGGATGAAGCAAGAGAGAAATGCAAGGGAATCGATCCGAAAGCTGATCTCGCAACGATACACGCAAAAGAGGAAGATGAATTTGTACTTGGTGAGTGGGCAAGGAGCGAAAGTTTTGATTTAGAGTCACTTCAAGCGTTAAAAACAGTTCGAAAATTAAGATCTTAGATCTAGGATCGACTAGGCTGGGTAGAGTCGGCTTTCTTGACCTGAACAAAATTAGGAAAGAGCTTTCAAAGCTTTGAGACTATTTCCAAATCTGCATAGCACTTGTGGCGTTACCAAGCTTTTCGTTTTCAGATCTCATTCAATCGAAAGTGATGGAGCTGGGTGACGTCGGTGGAATGAGTGACTATGGGAAATGTTGGAACAGGTTAAACTCTGAAAGAAAATAGTTCAAATTTACAATTTTACAATACACTTCCCCAAATATGAAAGTTTTCATGTTGGAGTCGAATATAATCTTTTTGTGCCATTAAAAATAAAAATGGCAAGCCAAAAAGTGAGTGGCAATGTGGTGAGTCGGACCAGGCTAGACAAGCGTCCTCCCGACTGAACCACGGCGACCATATGTTAAAAACTAGCCTGAAAAGCCTGGTTTACAAATAATTTACAATTTAAGTTTTCAAGTTTAAGCTTGATTTTAGTCACGTGTGGATCGGGTTCCGTTTCGCTGCCAACACATCACCTCGAGACGAGGAGCCGATCAATTACCCCGATAGATTACCCCATCTTCCACCACTTCCACCACTTCCATCGCCTCCATCACTTCCACCACTTCCACCACTTCCATCACTTCCACCACTTTCCATCATTCGCCCGAGACGTGCTGCATCGACTTCGGAAAATGTTTTCTCGTGGGCTGACGGAACTTTTGTCGGTTATCAACATGAGCCAAATCATTGGCATCCCGATGTTGAGCTCGAATATGTGGTTAGTTAGCTGTAAAACTACTAAAGTCGTTTAGGGGCTCAATTTCAATATTTATTCAATCAATTCTTTTCAGGCAATGAGCGATCCAACGTGCACCTCATCGATCGACGGAAATGATTATGGACACCGTCGATGGGGATGGCTTGAACATCAACAAGCACATCAAATGGCACGATATCTTTGTGGGAAAACAAGGGCTTGAAAGGAAAGCAAAGAAATATTTCATTATGCTTTTATCAACACGAAAAATAAAGATTAAAACTTTGTTCACAGTAAGTTAAAGTAAAGAAATGCATAGCCTGAGTGCACTAATTTAAAGAACAATCCAAATTGCACTAATGCTTACTTAACTCCTTTTGGTGAAGGCAATCGAGTGCGTTGTGGTGTAATGGTTAGCACAGTTGGCTGGTAAGCGGAAGGTCGGGGGTTCGATTCCCGGTGGCGGGCAACTTTTTGATCTGCCCTAGTTCTAACAGCTTTTCAAATGCTTCAATGAAAGTTAAGTCTTAGTCTTAAGATATTCAGTCTTATTACTTGAATTTTTCATAAATGTACTCTAGAAAGACAAAAGACTGAAACTTTCCAATCAAACAAAACAAAACAATGTTCATCAATAAAACATTGAACTAAACTAAATAAACATTTAAAATTCAATTAAAACTTTAACTTTTTTAGATTTTAATTTAAATTTGACAGTAGTTTGAATGCAAAATTAGATCATTTTTGATGCCTTTTTCATATTTTACTTCTTTCATTTTCAAAAGCAAATGCGCTTATCGAAAAAAAGAAAAAAAAAGCAAAGAAAACTTTGATAACAAAAAGCTTTCAATTATTGAATGTTTGAGTGGCTAGATTTTAAATCTCTATTCCGGAATCGAAACAAGAAATTATGGGTAATAAAATTTGTTATTTTAAAAAGAAATAAAGCGTAGATCGGATTGTCAATTGGTTTACAATGAAAAAAACGACTTTTAATCACTTCAATGAATACTTTTTCAAGGATTTTTCAAATCAAAAGATAGAGTTTGAAGAATTCTATCTTTATTTAGCACGAGATTCTGAAAAAGTAGTCGTTGAAGTGGATAAAACTCGTTTTTCTGTTGCACACCTATTGACAAACAGCTCTAATGAACAGCTCAAATGAACAGCTCTAATCCAACCCATTCAGCTCTCTTCAATCGTTGCCTCGATTCTCAATTTTCTGATTCAAATCGTTTATCATATATATTGTGCAGTTTATTATAATGAGCATTACAAAAAGTTTGTTTCATTCGTTTCATTTGTTTTTTTGGGAAATAGCGTTGTTCAGCTTTTATACAAGCTCTCAAATGCGAATCTTTGCGATTATTGGAACAATGTGAGTGTTTTTTTTTGTTTTGGGTAATACAATTATTGAAATTTTAGGGAACGAATAGCCTATCTCTCAATGTACATCACTTCTTTCATTTTAACAGTCATCGGTTTTCGGAAACGATATCGACTTCAAGCTTGTGCACTTCCGATTTATTTGGCAAGATGATTCACTTTAGAATCTGTACTACCGTATTTTCTCTAATAGTAGTGCACCCTGAGCGCCGCCTAAATTCGTTCGAAATCTCGAGAGCCGCTTATCAGAACCTATCGATGTGGGTTCGGAAAATGTAGCTGACGATGAGATCTTGTGGGGGGATTAAAGTGTTAAGCTTCTGGAAAAATTGGAAACCGTAAAATAGTCACCAACTCGGCTCGACGGGGTGCACTACTAGGGAAAATACGGTAAATTTCAATAACCTCGTCTGCAAGTTACGGTTGAGTTACGGTTTACTGTAGTATCTAGAAAAGCTACGGTTGACGGTAATCGAGTGATGATTTAAAGTACCGTATTCTCTCTAATAGTAGTGTACTCTGAGTGTTGCCTAAATTGCTGACTCGAGAACCGCTTATCAGAACCTATCGATGTGGGGTCGGAAAATGTAGCTGACGATGAAATCTTGTGGGGGATTTGAGTGTTGAGCTTCTGTGAAAAATTTGAAATCGTAAAAAAGTCATCAACACGGCTCGACCGGGTGCACTACTATTAGAGAAAATACGGTATTCTAATTGAAAATTTTTTTATAGATTAAGTTCAAAAGGTTCTATGCCTAGCCTAGCATAAAAACAATTTGCTAAAAAGGTTTAGACTTGCTTATCCTCAGAGATTTTTCAATACTTTGAGACTTCAGGCTAAGCCAAGCTTTTGAACATAATCAAATAGATTTCTCAATCTTAAGCAGCTAATAAATTCTCAAAATTCCAGGTTTTCCTCTTGAGTCTCTTTGTCACTTTATTCAACCAGGCCGTCGAATCAACCCCTTCAACCCCTTCACTAATTCTTGGCTTTGCAATGTTATTCATGAATCTTATCACAATAATTCTTTTCACCCTTCTCCACCGTGAAATCTTTCATCAACAAATTCAATGTCCTTGTTGTCGTTTTGAGTTTCTCGTTGAATGATTTAAAAGAAAATAAAAAAAGAAAATAAGAAATTGATTTCTTTTAATCCTTCTATTCCAATGATGATTCAGAGTCGATCTCTTTCGATTGAGAAGAGATTTTTGTGATGTATCCGCGTTGATCTACCTGCAAAATATGAAAAGTTTATTCTTATATAGTCTCTTATATTGTAAATAAAATATTTATCAGAAAAAAACTATCTGCCTTCTGTTTCTTGTTATATTTAGAATTAGTATAGTAGGTATATTGAAGTAAAGGGGATTGAGGTCCGGTTTCCAGATTAAGCCAAACTCTAGATCATAACCTGGCTTTGCAAATAGGTGCTTACAGTACTTTGATGCTTACAGTACGGTGCTCACAGTACGGTACTTACAGTACTTTGATGCTTACAGTACGCTGCTCACAGTACGGTGCTCACAGTACTTTGATGCTTACAGTACGCTGCTCACAGTACGGTACTTACAGTACGGTGCTCACAGGACGGTACTTACAGTACTTGATGCTTACAGTACGGTGCTCACAGGACGGTACTTACAGTACTTGATGCTTACAGTACGGTGCTTACAGTACTTTGATGCTTACAGTACTTTGATGCTTACAGTACTTTGATGCTTACAGTACGGTGCTCACAGTACTTCGATTCTAATCAGAGCTTTAATCAAAGCTTGCAGTACTTTGATTAAAATTAAACTTCTGAGTAAAATTCTAGTTGACAAAACATTGCAAACATTGCAAAAGTGCAGTTATATCAAGTCGACCTCAAATCTAGCTTTTTGTGAACAGATTACTTGCATCACAGAGATTTAGAGAGAAATATTCTTACTTGTTACAATGATAATCCCTTCTGTACCTCAAACAGCATCACTTCCCACCACCAATACACGAAAAACGCTCTCCTTTTGTGCACAAACTCGGTTTCATTTTCGTTTTCTGTCATTTTGGCGTCAAATCTGTAAATCTTTCTGTTTCTGTTTTGCACAAATAAAACAAAAAAAAAGGTGTCTGTGCAAGGGAAAAACTTATCTCGAAAAAAGCGGAGAGAAATATAAAGAAAAGAATGAATATCACAAATGAATGAGAGAACATTTCTTTGTGATTTGGAGATGAATGGGGGAAATGATCAATTGAAAGAGGGAAAAGGACGATAAAGTAACGATTATCTTGAGAACGGAGAAAGTTATGGGATATTCGTTTACACAACAAAGTCAATTGTTCGTTTGTGATTGAATATTCAAATAAAAATCAAAAACAAATGCTAGATTAGATGCTTAGAGCAAATGCTTAGATGCTAGATTTTAATTTGAGGCTTTCACTTTCGGTTTACTTTGAAAATTGAAAGGTAAACACTCTTTCTAATAGAGTAGGTTCCTCTCGAGTAAAGAATTACTCGAGTAAAATCTGCATGTGTTATTTTTACTCGACTAATCGGGGGTGGGACAAATGCGACCTTTTTTTGCGCACCTGAACATTTGCGCACCTTTTTTTTTGCTGGAAAAGGCCTTAGGAAAAGCCGTAGAGCTTCAAAAATGTTTTCATAGAAGGGAATCGTATGCGTAGATTCAGAATTTTGACAAATCAGACCTCGTTGACACGTCAAATTTGTGCTGATTTCGAATCTGAAGGAATTTTCCCAATCCCTCTGACAGAAATTTTTAAAATTGAGTTTTGAGCAGTTTTTTGGTCATTTTCTATGGGAAATTTTGTGGTACCCTGCAGTTTGGGGCTCGTAACTCGACAACGAGGGTCTAGAACCAAAAACGAGAGGATAACTTTTATTCTAGAGACTCTTACGAACATTTTGATGCAAAAATCATCAAATTTGCTCAACTCTACAAAAAGTTATAAGATCTTTAAAGAAATTTTGCAAAATACGCTAAAAACATAAGGGGAAACCGTGGCCGAGTGGTCTAAGGCGCGCGACGTGAATCCCGTGCCAAAGTATGGGGTTGTTGGTTCGGCTCTCCCGCGCACTTGAGCTATTATTTTGCATATTCCTTAATTGTTTTGAGTGAATACGATACATAGCTACATTGTTCTTTTCAACAAAACAATTGTGCAATAGAGAATTTTTGTAGATTTTCCCATTTCTTTTTTAAAAAATGTCATAACTTTTTGTAGAGTTGAGCAAATTTGATGATTTTTGCATCAAAATTTTCGTAAGAGTCTCTAGAATAAAAGTTATCCCCTCGTTTTTGGTTCTAGACCCTCGTTGTCGAGTTACGAGCCCCAAACTACAGGGTACCACAAATTTCCCATACAAAATGCCCAAAAAACCGCTAAAACTAAATTTAAAAAATTTCTGTCAGAGGGATTTGAAAAATTCCTTCAGATTCGGAATCAACACAATTTTCCGCATCTAAAAAAGGTACTCCCAGAAAAATCCGATAGAAAACGCATTTTCGCGCCGATGTGCAGAGGGTTTCTTTCGGTTCTTTCAATTACGCAACTCATCCAGTTCACTTGAACCCAACTTTCAAACATTACCTGAAATCCTTGTTTTTCTCTACTTTATGACCACTCAAATTAGAAGTGACTTCCGTATTTCAAAAATATTTCTTATCCCCATTTTCCCTCTTGAATTTCTCAAGTGGTCGGCAAGAAGAGGGAAATTTTGCCAAAAACATTTCTCAAGATTCTTTGGCATGTAAAAAGTGATGACGGAAGGGGATAAAGGTCACATGGATGAGCAGATTGAAAGTTGAGAAAAAAAAAAAACCCATCTTACACCCATCACACTCTCGTCTTCCTTGAGCCTAGGATGCTAACATTGGCTTGAGAAGCCTTCTAATTTGAGAGGCTCATTTTCCTTTCTTTAAGCCAATAAAATCGGATCTAACAGATAGATTTTAGATTCTTTTAGATTCTTTTACGTTCTTTCCAAATCATTTCGATTACTTTCACTTGCAACTTTTGATCGTTACTAGTACGTTACTAGTACCGTTACTAGTACCGTTACTAGTACCGTTACTAGTACGTTACTAGTACCTACGTTACTCGACTAGCAAATCTTTTGAGATTTCTGGTTCACTATAGGTATCTTGATGTTTCTCTCAATTTGTTTGAGATTTTTTTCGAAATTTGTGTGGCTCTTGTAGCCGACCTTTTTCCCCCTTTTCTATAGATATCTCTTTTCAAAGAAAAAAAAAGTGAAAAGACGAAATGAAATGAAAGTAAAAAAAGCCGAGAAAAATCCGTGTAAATGGCCGTGAAAAGTCGGAAAAAGAGAAAAATTTCCTTTTTAAACCGTTTTTGACAAAAACTAGTTTTGTTGGGACTCTTCCGCCGAACGCATCTCGAAAAATGATCAGCTCGGCTATCACTTTTCTTTTCTTTTCTTTTCTTTTTAAAACTTTCACCCGCCTACGCATCACTTTTTCGCCGAGTTTCCATCAAATTTTGATGAAATTTTTGGGAAAATTTTGCAAAACCGTATTGTTTTTTGTTGTTTATCTATGAAGAAATGGTTCCAGGATCATTTTTTTAAAAAATCATTCGTTTGTTATTCTTTTGAATATTCAAAAAATTTGTCTAACAATGCGGTTTTGCATTGTTAGATAAGTTCAAAAATGATCGAAACTCGTTTCAGATTTTCTTTTAGCCTTCATTTTCGATCTACTAACTGCAAAAAGCTTCCTTACATTTCCCAAAAAGAAAATGATCCTCAGATGGTTGTTATTAGTCTTCTTTGCTTTACACACAGGTATTTTGTGTCATTCTCGTGCAATTCTCGTAAATCAAATTCCAGAAGCGGCTCCAAAATGTGAAAATGTGTTGAGGAGTGATGTGAAAGTGAGTGCTTGAATAATTGCCATGGTCGACTGGCTAAGAAACTTGTAGCTTAGTCGGGAGGTCAAGGGTTCAACCCGTCAGCTAGATTATTCTTTCATTTTTCCATATATATATTTCTCGCTTACTAATTTACCCCCCCCAAATAAATATTCTTTATTGCCCGCAAAAAAATAATCAAATAAAAAAAAAAAAAAAAAAAATAATCCTTTTGAAGAAAGCCCTTTTAAAAAAAATTTCTTTTTAGGCTGAAAATATTCAAAGGCGAAAAAAATATATATATGGAATTCCTTTATTGGAACTATAAAGGAACTATAAAGGAACTAGAAAGGAACTATAAAGGGACTATAAAGGAGCTATGAAGTAACAATAAAGGAACTTTAAAGGAACTAAATAGGAACTAAAATTTTCCCTCTCAACATTTAGGGCTTAGGGGTTGTGCTTGTGTATTGTTTGTACCACATTATACAATCTATACAACACTAATAGCAAAATATAACCTTATATTCATTCGTGTAAATGAATAGATTGTGAAATGCTTTCATTTCAGTGGTATTTCGATGATCGACACCGAATGTGCATGGCTTTCCGAACGGATTGTCAATCGAGATTCCAAGTGGTCGCCCAGTTTTTCGATAGTGAAGAGGAGTGCACGTTGAATCGAATGAGTGAGTGATCGGGGGGTTTTTTTGAGCTCAAAATCTTTGACTAGAGAAGATATTGAGTACCTTATTCTCCCTAATAGCAGTGCACATTAAGCTCCTCCTAAATTCCTTGAAATCTCGAAAAGCGCTTATCAGAATCTATTGATATGGGGTCGAAAAATGTAGGTGACGATGAGATCTAGTGGGGGAGGAAAGTGTTAAGCTTCTGGGGAAAATTGGAAACCGTAAAATGGTCATCAACTCGGCTCAGCGAAGTGCACTATTAGGGAAAATACGGTAAATTTCAATAGCCTCGTCTGCAAGTTACGGTTGAAACCACAGGTTTACTGTGGCATCTAGAAAAGTTACGGTTTACGGTAATTAAGTGATGATTCAAAGTGCCGTATTCTCTCTAATAGTAGCACTACTATTAGAGAGAATACGGCACTTTGAACAACCCTAAGCTCCTCCTAAATTCCTTGAAATCTCGAAAAGCGCTTATCAGAATCTATTGATATGGGGTCGAAAAATGTAGGTGACGATGAGATCTTGCGGGAGATTTGTTGAGCTTGTTGTTGTTGTTGTTGAGCTTCTGGAAGAACTTGGAAACCATAAAAAGCGTTATCAACTCTCTGTTAAGTATTTTCTTTATTTCAGAAACTTTATGGAAAAACATTCGCGTGCGTTGTCCGGTCGATCTTCGAATGGCGACTTTTAAACGAACGAATGGCGATCGAGTTCCTTTTCTTTTCTCAGCGGAAATGTGTCATTCGGTGAGTTGAAAATGGTACTCTAGAATGTGGATTAGTTTAGATTAGATATTTTAGCAATAAAATACCGATTTTATATACTAATTTTAGCCCAATTTTCTAACTAATCAACCCGAAACCAGTTGAGCAATCCATTCAGGACGGTTTCTCGGATATGTGCGACAAAACGGAGACTTGTTTCACGGTTGAATGGCTTGGTTTTTGTTGTAATGATGAGGCTTTCCTCGGTGATGGACCAAGTGGGTTTTTTTTCATTTAAAAACAAACTTGATTTACTTAAAAATTTACAAAAAACCGTTTTCCTAGTTTCCTAGAGCTTTTCGGAGCTAAAAAAGCCCAATTTGAAGACTTTCTTTCTATCGTTTTCGATCAAGTTGCTTTGACGAATACTTTCATTTGTAATTAAAATTATTAAAACTGATTATTTCTTTTTTTTCTTCAGATGCTGGTGTGTTTAATGTAACCGGTTTGGGCGGTCCAGTCAATCACATTCGAAACGCCGCTCATAGTGAGCCGCCAAGTGAAGCGCCGGTGAATTGCAATGAGGATGGAGATCGGAATGAGGTTGAGGTAAACGGATTGATATCGATTTTGATTATGGATGTATTCAGAAAAAAAAAAGTTGAAACAAATGTAAGTAAAAAGTTCTTTTAGTGGTTTCGTAATCCGTCGGGTCGTGGTTGCGTATCGCAGCGTATTCAATGCTCTCTCCCAAAATTCACTCGTCCCATCAGACAAGATGTTTTCCCTGATGAGCAAAGTTGCATGGATTTCTGGTTTCGTGAGTTTTTTGGATAGGATTTCGGATTTTGATAGAAATCGGAAGCTTGTAGGAAGCTTTAAAGTTTTATCGATAGCCTAGTTTGCTAATCAAAAGACAAAACAGTTTACAAATCAATGAATTTAACTTTTTTTTGTGGCCAAAATCCTCTACAAATCACCCAATATATAGCTTTGTTTTTTGGGGGTCAAAATCCTTTACAAATCAACCAAGATAGCTTTGTTTTTTGGGGCCAAAATCCTCTACAAATCACCCAATATATAGCTTTGTTTTTTGCGGTCAAAATCTTCTTCAAAGCTTTCATTTCAATGAGAAAACCTTAGAAAAAACTGAAAGTAATCTAATTTTCAGCAAACGAGCACATTTTACGTACGTTCGATTGTGCAGAAGAGGGTTTCTCGGCTGCTGTCGACATCAATGGGACACCGCTTGTTTATGAGAAAAGGTTGAAATTTGAAATTTGAAAAAGAAATTTCAAGCACACATATTCTACAAAAATTCTACAAAAATTCTACAAAAATCTGTAATCTTTAACCCAAATTTACAGACTCTGCGGCTCTCCACATGATTCCGATTTTTGTAATCGTGACGAAGTGTGCAAAACGTTAAGCGACGTCGGTTTCTGTTGTCAGCGATCATCCGAGGGTTTGTTTGCAAGAAAAAAATGCCTATAAACTATTGTCAAAACTAGGATTTAGCTGTAAAATTCGAAAATCTTGAAAATCTTTCCTTTCAGGTGCCTTCAAATACGCGCAAATGGGTCGGGTGGGTGTGGAAACGTTGAATCCGGGAGATTCGCTTGATTTCATCCTCTCACAAGGCTTCAAAAAATAACAAAACAAAGAAAAGGATTTAAAATTGATAAACTAACAATAACAAATGATTAGAGTGATGGGTGTGACTTTGAAATGATAATAAAAAAAAAGAGTGGTGAAAGGAAAATAACAACGAGTGTGCGGTGAACAGATATCAAAAGCGACATGGGAATTGGGAATTTGATTTCGATTCACTGCAAAAGCTTGGTACTAAACATGTGCATTTGTCGGTTCGTTTGTCAATAGGTGTACAGTGGATGTTCGTTTGTCGATAGGTGTACAGCGGAGGTCCGTTTGTCGATAGATGTACAGCGGAGGTCCGGTTGAGGTGTGCTGTGGGGGGGCTGGGGGTCCTGGGGGGCGTTTGTCTAGTGTAGCGGGGTCCCATGGTGCGGAGGTCCGTTTGTCAATAGGTGTACAGCGGAAATTCATGTCTTGAGTTTTTAAAATCGACTTGTCAAACGTTTTTTTCATTATCATAGAGCTTTTTTGAAATCCAATGATCCATTAGATTCAAAGGTAGAAAAAACTTTTGAAAAGGTCGATTGAGAAAGCTTTTGAGACATGAATTTCCGCTGTACACCTATCGACAAACGGACCGACAAATGCAAGTGTCTACTTGTTGGCTTAAAGTTTCTTAAAATGCACTACTTAAATTTCTAACCGGTTACTGTAGCTTGAAGCTATTGTATCCTTTACTCCGCTATTCTTTTAGCATTTCCGATTTGCATTGAAGATTTTGATTTAACATGCTTTTTTTACATAAATGTTTTGGGATTAACTTCTCTTTGAGTGCCTTTTCGAAAACGATTCATTCAAGAGGAAAGGAATTACTTATTTCAAAGAGCTTATACCGTAAATACTCTAGAACGCCGCCCCCATAATGACAGGCGTACAGTCACTAGTCTAACTTTGAACGTCTCGTTCTCTGCGCTATTTTATGCTATGGTATGGGCTCTGGTGTCAAATGATAGTGCTTGAAATCTAGTATTTTTTAGTACCAAAAAGTAATTGCGAAAAATCTAGAAGCTAAGAAAAAAAATGATTTCTAAAAAGAAGTTAGACTACGCGACCGTACGAGCGGTTGGCGTTCTATTTTTTCCTTTTTTTTTCGTTCCTAAAGTATTTATGGTATGCAGGTGTGCGTAGTCTCTACCAAATTCATTTTCTTGTGTGGCTTTGATTAATTTCGAGTGTAAAATCGCTGATGCTTGTTTTCGAAAGTTCATTTCATATTCGAATTTTCATATTCATGAAACTTGATCGTTTACCGACTCTTTCAGAAAAATCGTCAACAGCCAATCCGGGTGCATCGTTTGCGACGTGTCTTGTAAATTTTAGTGTTTCAATAAAAAAGTTTTAAAAGTTTTAAAAGTTTTAAAACATTTCCAAACTTTACACGTTTAAATTTTAAAAATTGCTGAAAAAAAAAATTATTGAGAGGATTAATTTCGCAAGAATAAGCAATAAGATATAGGCAAAACAAAAGATATTTCATTTTTGTGCCATTTGAACGTTTGAAAGCCCACTTGAAATTGGAGCCGATATTGTTGAGAATTCAGTTCCAATAAGCTAAAAATTTTTTTTGAAAAATTGTAAAAGTCAGAAGGTTTCTTTGAAAAATATTGATGTTTTATTTTCTGTTATTTATTCTTTTAATGGAAATCTCGTCAATTCAAATCCTTCCACATGACGCAAAGAAAGTGGTATGAGAAGGGATAAAGATGAGGAAATTTTTGCTAAATCTTTTTTCTAAACAATAATTATAAAATTGTTAGTTTTTAAAAGATCAAGCTATAGAGCACAAGTGCGAAAACTTAAAAACACTACTTCGCAACTCTCGTTAAGCTGAGCTTGTCAACCTAGTTGGATAAGTTTCCTGATCTTTGCCACAAGTTATGAGCTCTAAAAACATTACTACGCAACACTCGTTAAACTGAGCTTGTCAACCTGGTTGGATAAGTTTCCTGGTCTTTGATACAAGTTATGAAGTCTAAAAACATTACTTTGCAACACTCGTTAAGCTGAGCTTGTCAACCTGGTTGGATAACTTTCCTGGTCTTTGATACAAGTTATGAACTCTAAAAACATTGCCTTTTACAACTCTCGTTAAACTGTTGTCAACCTGTTTGTCAACCTGGTCCCATAAGTTTCCTAATCTTTGATACAAGTTATGAACTCTAAAATTAAAATAGAAGTTACATTCATAAGATTCATAAGATTTTATTTAGAATCGTAAGGATTCAAATAATCTAAACTCGAATTCAAAAAATCCATCACCGAGAAGAATCGCCGAAGATTCGATCACAAATTGGACAGCTATTGGAGTGGCAGGTTTGAGGCAATAATGAAATTCCTTGAATAAAGACTATTTAGAAAAAGAAAATGTCTTTTTAGGGGTGATTCGAAGTCGAAAGTTGGCTTTATTTTCAGATTACTATGGTGCTTTTCTCGATGATTCTCAGCGTCTCTTCGACGAGTTATTTTTTAATCGACGCTATCAAAGCGACATGTCTCCAGTCTATTCACTGAGAAAAATCAACGAGACAGCGATTCCGCGTTTCCGTGTTCAAGTCGCTGTTCAGTATGCGCAATTGATGGGTTTGGTAGGGAGTTTTGAGGGGATCTTTGATTGATTCTAATTGATTTGATTGATTTGATGCATTTGATTGATTTGATTGATTCTAGGATGTTCAAGGCCAGTTGATGTACACGTTGCTTGAGTTGGAATTCGTGGGTTTACAGGATTTGATTCAAGCTATTTTTTTTGTCTAGATTTGGCAAGACGTGCGATTAGCATGGAATCCTGAGGATTTCGGGGGAATCGAGAAAACCTGGGTTAACTATGAAATGCTGTGGATTCCGCAGAATGGATTCGCGAACGCGTGAGTTGTTGTTGAAATCAATTCAAGCTTTTTTTATAGCTTTTAAAGCTTCATAGCTTTTTTTAGACAACATCTAGAGATCATAAACCCTGATAAAACGGTGGTAGCGATGATTTTCGCGAACGGAACTGTGGTGCTCGGTTTCTACGCGTACGTGCAAACGGGTTGTGAAATGGAGGCGAGTTTTTTTGAGTTGAACCTGTAAATATTAATACGGGAAAATACGGAGAACTTGCTGGGTGTAATGCATTAAAAAAAACATTTATATGTTTAAGAGAATAGATGCTTGCTTCTCGGGAAAGTAATCCGAGAAACAGGCGATCTGGGTGTTCAATAATTATTTTAATTATTGTATTTTAAGTGTAACTCAGCACTCTGATCTGCAATCATCTCACGCTTTGTTTTAATAAAAAATTTCGCTCTTACATAGTTTCCGGTAATTTTGAACGCGTCATCACGCTTTGAAGGCCTATAACTTTGTCCAGGGATAATATTTTTGTTAACTTTTTATATCATTGTACAGAGGACATGTCAAGCTTTCAAATGATACCAAATAAAACTTGATTGGATAATCCAATTAAAAAAAGCAGAGCCAACTCTGAGCAAATGAGGCCTATCCAAATCCTGTGTTGTGCCGCCTGGCTTGCATGGGAATGAAAAATCCAGTCAAGCTAATTATTGAACACCCTGTAGACTGTACGAGAAATTGCAGGTCGGTCGTTTCCCATTCGACAGTCAAATGTGCTCGATGGATTTCTATGTTTCGGCTTATGAGTATTACTATGTTGAACAAAAGGGAGCGCTTTTCACAAAATACGATGAGGCCAATATTTTGGTAAGAAAGTTTAAAAGTTAAAAAGCAAATCGTGAAAAATGGTGGCGTGTCGGAGGGATGAGCTCATTCGAGAGCTTGTTAAATGAGTTGTATGCATTCGATTCGGGAGCTTTTAGTAGATAAATGTAGCCAAGAGTTAGGGCTTCAAATCTTTATATAACACTTGCCATTTTTCAAATAAGTTAGACATTTGCTAGCTGCTGTAATTTTTTTCTGAAGCCTTTTGCGCACCCTGTATGATTATGAGCTAGGTTTCTAGATTCGCAGTAAAGTTTGATTTTAGCTTTTTGTTTTGATTGTTTTTGAAGAGGATTTTTTTTGAATAACTCTGAAAGAGTGACTCTTTTACGTTTTAATATTGAGTATTAAACATGAAAAAAATTCCAAGCCGAATCCAATTCCATCATCGTTTTCTCGGTCCTTTCTTGATCGATTACTTTACAAGTCTACAAGCTGTCTATCTGTAGAGAAAATTTCAGAGTGATCGGTCAAGAATCGGTCAAGAAAACGAACGGAATTAGGTTCAGATTGGGATTTTCCCATGTCTAGTACCCTCCACTACTAGAGGCACTTTTACTTAACTTTTGCTTAACTTTTACTTTTAAAGTTTCCCTCATTAACTGAATATACAATAAAAAGAGAAATCCTCAAGATATTTCACAAAAGAGATGATTTTGAAAATTTATTAGCGTGAAATAGTTACGGTTTATGTCTGTAATTAATAATTTTTAGGGAAACGGCACGTGGAAATACGATGATTACAATATTCAAGTACTGAACAGTTGCTATAATGTTTGTTTATTTAAAATTAGCTCAAATCTAGTGGAATGAAATCTTTCATTTCTTTAGTTTCCAAATTTAATCCAATAAATTTTCGGGAAATGGTGAATGGGCCGTGCAAAATGTGTCGATGAGTGCGAAGTTTTTCTGCCGAAATGAGCACTTCTTTTGCTATGATTATGTGAGTTAAAAGAAAGAAAATAAACGAATAAACAAGCTTTTTGAGCTAAAATTTCTTTTCTACCTAAAACGAGAGGCGAATTTCTATGTCTACGTGATCGCCGTCCCATGTTTTCTCCTCACTTTCCTCTCGATTGTCGGCATGTTCTGGACGCCGAATCTTAAAGAAGAACAACTCACAAAGGTTTTCAATTGATTATACAGGGTGCGTCATAATTATTGCAACAAGAGTTCAAAGACCGTTTTCCAAACAGCTTTCTTATTTTTTTTGCCCCCTTTTTTGTTGTGTTGTGTTCTATCTTCTTTATTCTTGCCTAATTGCCTCCCGCTCACACGAAGAAGACGGTTCAGGTGTGTTGGCCACACACCAGTTCAGGGACTGGTGTGTGGCCAACTTTCCCTCAGTGATCACCAAGGATGAATGGCCTCCAAACTCACCGGATCTCAATGTGATGGACTTTTCCATTTGGGCAATCTTAGAGGCTAATGTCTGCTCTCGAAAACACACAAGTTTGGATTCTTTGAAGAAGTCTTTGACCAAGGGATGGAAGGCGACTCCTCAAGATGACATTCGGGCCGCAGTGGAGGCATATCCGAACCGATTAAGGGCTGTTATCAAGGCAAAAGGCGGTCATATCGAATGATCTCTTGTTTCCTTATTTGTTACTGTTAAATAAAGCTATTTCTGTTTAAAAATCTTCTTCCAGTGAAACTTCTTGGTGTGCAATGCCTTGAGTATCTTGTTGCAATAATTATGACGCACCCTGTATTTTAATCATTTTAATCATTTAACTCTAATCAATCATTTAATCAATAGATCTTTTGATAAAAACTTTTCCCTTGGCTTTTTTGATTCAAAATATTTTCAGTTAAGTATCGGGCTCACCTCAATGATGTCAATGACGATTTTCGTCGATTTAATGGCCTCACAAATCCCGAAAACATCTTCATTTCCACTTTTAGGTGAATGATTTAAAAGTTCAATTCAATTAATTGAATTTCAGGGGTTTTCGTGGTCACTTCCGTTTTCATTATCTCATGTGCTTGTGTCGTTTTGGTGACCACATCGGTGACACCGAGTTGGGCGAAAAGAAGAGAATCCAAGTGGGTTATTTAAACGGACTCGTGATATAGATGTAATAATCTAATAAATAGATGCAATAATAATAATAAGCATATATAGATTTCTTTCAGATCTTGTCCCGAGACTCTCCGCAATTTTTTCTGTTCTATCCATTTCTTTTTGCTGGCTCTTTTTCAGAGTATCAACATCGCGAATTTCGCCGTTTTAATGTCGTTTTGGCATTGATCTATGTATTTTGTACATAAAAGGAAATAAAATAAAAATTTGAACTTAAAATTCATAGAATTTTTGAAGAAAACAAAACGTATAACAAAGCAACTTTTTCAAATTGCATTTGTCAATCGAAAAAATGAACAAACAAGAGAATAGTTGAGGAAAGAACTTCTAAAACTCAATTATTTGATTGACTATCAAAAACATAACCTATTTTGATCACTTTATGTGAAGCAAAATTTGTCTTTTTCTTATTTTGTCACTTCAAAGAGTGAGCTTAAAAAACGTCACCTTATCAACAAAGAAATTCACCGAAAACCGTAACAAAAAGAACCCGATTCGATCATTTTGATCTTTTAGATCATTACACCGATTTTCTTGGAAACATTCAACTCATATTTGAAGAGATTTTTACAAAACGAAACTATTACAAAGAGCTTTCACTAGTCTATTTTAAACAGACCCAAAATGTGACAGGTTGTTATATTTTTCTTTCATTTTAGATTTCAAATATTCGTTTATTTATTCTTTGTTGAATAAACTCATAATTTTAACTATAGTGACAAATAAATCAGAATTTCAGAAATATGCTGATATGAGATGAAATCCACACTTTTAACTATAAAAATTTAAAAGTTCCCTGGGTTCTTATCCGATACTGAGTATAGACAATTTATCGTGAGTTCAATGAAAGTTTATTAAATGGATTTTAATTTTATTGAATTGAATTTTGAACTTTTCGAGAAAAAGTACTGTAATACCATCGAGAGAAAAATTTATTAAATATAAAAAAATAAGCATAAAATTGGGCACAAGCACGGCTATTTCAAATCATGCCATTCGTCTATCTGTAAATAAAAAGATTAGACCTTATTTTGAAATAAAGAGGTGCTTTACGGATCAAGAAAATATTAAGAAAAAACCAACCAAACTTGTTGGCAGAACTTGTGGGCACATTTGACACAGGGAGAAATTGCTCATCCTAAAACAATCGTTTCAAAATAAAGGAACATGAACAAACCACGCGTTTAAAGTTTTCCTCAACGCTGAAAATTGGAACGATGACTCGATGCGAACCGATGCTGGCGCTGTAATAAGTTAATATATAAATAATCAAATATATTATCATTTACTTTGCTTTGGAAAATTGATATCCGCCGACATTGATTCCGATAATCGAACTACTTTTTGTCACAACGAGTCCGACAGATTTCCCAGCATGTGCAGGACCTGTTCCTCGATAATGGCCTTCTTTGGTCGTCTTCCTATAAAAAAGCAGACATTAGTCGTCCATGATTCACACTCATCAGCTAGTAGGCTATTTCAATAATTAAAAAAAAAACAAAAACTAGGAATCAATATACACCGAAAAAGGGGACACGATGTCGAGATGGCCAATCAATAAACGAGTAGTGTTCTTATATGTAACCGACTATCCTGATCCCGAATGTATAGTCGAAACATGCTGATGAGATGAAATGCACACTTTTAACTATAAAACTTTAAAAATTCTCTGGGTTCTTATCCGATACTGAGTATAGACAACTTATGGTGAATTTAATGAAAGTTTATTAGATGGATTTGAATTTTGAAGTTTTCGAGAAAAAGTACTGTAATACCATCGAGAGAAAAACTTTATTAAATATAAAAAAATAAGCCTAAAATTGGGCACAAGCACGGCTATTTCAAATCATGCCATTCGTCTATCTGTAAATAAAGAGATTAGATTTATTTCGAGCTAAAGAGGTGCTTTACGGATCAAAAAAACATCCAGAAAAAAAACGAACTTGTTAGCAGAACTTGGGGCACGTTTGACTCAGTGAGGATTTTCGCATCCTAAAACAACCTCCTTTTCAAAATCAACGAACATGAACAAACCAAGCGTTTAAAGTTTTCCTCGAAGTCGAAAATTGGCACGATGACTCGATGTGACCCGATGTTGGCACTGTGATAAGTTAATATATAAATAATCAAATATATTATCATTTACTTTGCTTTGAAAAATTGCTTCCGATAATCGAACTCCTTTTTGTCACAACGAGCCCGACAGATTCCCCAGCACTTGTTCCTCGATAATGGCCTTCTTTGGTCCTCTTCCTATAAAAAAGCAAAAAGCAGACAGTTAATCGTCCCTGATTCACTCTCAACCTCTAGCAGGCCATCTCAATAATTAAAAAAAAACAAAAACTAGGAATCAATATACACCGAAAAAGGGGACACGATGTCGAGATGGCCAATCAATAAACGAGTAGTGTTCTTATATGTAACCGACTATCCTGATCCCGAATGTATAGTCATTCGAAATCAGGAGAATCAATTACATATAGGTAAATTACTTCCCTATTAATTGACTACCTTGGCTTCGTGTCTTCTCCTTTCAAGACTCAGCTTACTTACGTAGAGTAAATGTTTCCATATTATTCGATGCACAGTTCGTTGTCCAAGAGTCCAATGAAAGTATAGGGCATTCCTTCATGAAGATCAGAAATATTGAAGCGTTTTGTCGATTCGTTCAAAAAGTTGCCGCGAAGAACATCAAAGTAGACGTAATCCATCTCCTCGTGTTTTGATACAGCCTTCACCTAAATGCATAAAAAATTATTCAAGAACTTTTAAGAAAGTTTATTAACATTCAATAAAACATTACCTCATCTGCGACTTCAGTTTGATCGAGCATCGATTGAAGCCCGACCCTGTCATCTTCATCCAGTTTCTTGTTGTCAACGTGAGCATACGATAAGGCAGCCCGTTGATGCAACATTATTCAACAACATTGCAACGTTGATGCAACATATTTTTTAATTACACCTTTTCATTAGTTACTAATTTTAAACTTTATTTTTTGAATGAAATTTCAGCGGATATGGAACATGAATCGATTAGATAAAATAAGTGACAATGAAACAATAAAACCATTAAACTGTACAAAACCCAATAGAAACCCTGAAAACCCTATCATCTCCGATTGCGGTCAATCGTAGAAAGCGAAAAATAACCCGTCTAGAAACATGTAAATACAATTCCTACTTGAATCAATATTTCGTCTAAAAAATCGAACCTCCCTCGGATAAGGGGGGTTGATGAAATTCTTTTTAGTGAGTTCCATCGCCTTTTTGACGATTTCTTCATAATTTCCCATTTCTAATTGCTCCATTCCAGGAGATTGTGAAAGAAAATCGCGGCTTCGGACATAAGTCGATCGTCTACAACCCCTGTTAATCATCAAAAAAGTCGTCTCGAAATTCTTGCTTGGGATCCCCTTATCAGCGATTGATTGCACGATTAATGGTACAATCTCTTCATGATTTTCAAAAGAAACCAACACTATGAGGTTTTTTATCGAAGTTTTGGCAAAAACATCGCAATAGAAATGAAACGTGGCAAGGGAGTGACAATAAAACTTGACCTCTTTGCAGTCATTCATCTGATTTACAATGAAATTCTTAAAAAGCTCGATGATCACTTGATTTTCTTTACACAAATCAATCTTCACCCTAATCCACGCGCGCTTTTCAATCACTATGCGAAAATTTTCAAGAAATTTCCGCAACTCCTCGTTTGAGTCTCCAGAGAGCGTCAAATGTTTCACATATTTCAATTGACTCAGGAACGTCAACTTTTCATGGCTCAATTGTTGAGGGACCAAACTGATCCCCAATTTGTCACACGAATAGATTCGTTTCCACAATGGAAGCTGGGACTCGGTATTCAGTTCGACGTAGTTTCGTAGGTCGCTAAATTTCATTATTAGAGTCCCTTCCCAAAGAGTGTCTATGATATTGTACACGTGATGTCCACAAACTATCCACGGTTTCCGCAGTAGGATCGATCGAAATCCTGTATTCACCAAGACCAATTCAATCACATCACGCGACTTCATTTGCTCGAACACCTCCAGCTTTAAGTCGTAACATAGTTTCTCCATAGGGAATGACGTCAGCTTTCGCATTTCAAACAGCATCGGGCTTGGCGACGTTCCACCTGTAAATCAAAAATCATTAGATTTCGCAAAAACCATTAGACAATTAAAATTTAAAGCTTCTAGAAAAAACTTGAAATAATCGCTAAAGATCACTCCACTTATCAACCATGGTAAGAAGGATCATAAAAAATATAAAATCCAAGCTACCAAAACGCCTAAAAAACATGGAAACTTTATGTTGAAAATGAGAAAAGAAAATGGGATATTTATTCTTTCTTTTTTCCCTCTTTTTTTTTTTTTTTTTTTTTCATTTTTTTAGATTATAAAAAACCAAAAAAAAATTGGTACTTTAGAAGAAAGGTTAAGTGTGAAAGGGCTTGTTGCGTATAGACCCTTTTGCCGAAATAAAATGGCGGAAATTAGCCTACCCCAAGAAAATACAAGAATTGTGGCATGATCGGCCTTTATACCCATTAGCAAATGAATACTTTGCCATTAGCTAAGTATTTCGCGCAAAATAAGATATTCAGTAAGATAATAAATAAAATATAATATAAACATTAAAAATTCCCTTGGTTCTTATCCGATACTTCGTGTAGACAATCCCATCGAGAAAAAAATTTATTGAGTATAAAAATAAGCATAAAATTGGGCACAAGCACGGCTATTTCAAGTGCGATTTCGAATCACGCCATTTGTCTATCTGTAAATAAAAAGATTATACTTATTTTGAGATAAAGAGGTGCTTTACGGATAACCAAAATATTAAGAAAAAACAACGGAACTTGTTGGCAGAACTTGTGGGCACGTTTGACTTAGCGAGGATTTGCTCGTCCTAAAAGAATCTTTTTAAAATAAACGAACATGAACAAACCAAGCGTTTTAATTTTTCCTCGAAGTCGAAAATTGGCACGATGAGTCGATGTGACCCGATGTTGGCACTGTGATAAGTTAATATATAAATTATCAAATTTATTATTGTTTACTTCTTTGGATCATCGAAGTTGTATCCGCCGACATTGATACCGATGATTGCGCCATTCTTGGATACGACCAGGGCGCCAGACTCGCCAATCATTGCAGGACTTGTTCCTCGATAATGGCCTTCTTTGGTCTTCTTCCTATAAAAAAGCAAACAGTTAGTCGTCGATGATTCACACTCATCAGCTAGTAGGCTATTTCAATAATTTAAAAAAAACAAAAACTAGGAATCAATATACACCGAAAAAAGGGACACGATGTCGAGATGGCCAATCAATAAGCGAGTAGTGTTCTTATATGTAACCGACTATCCTGATCCCGAATGTATAGTTATTCGAAATCAGGAGAGTCAATTACATATAGGTACATGAGTTCCCTATTAATTGACTACCTTGGCTTCGTGTCTTCTCCTTTTAAAATTCCTCTTACTTACCTAGAGTAAATGTTTCCATATCCTTCTACGCACGGCTCGTTGTCCAAGAGTCCAATCAGAGTGTACGCCAATCCTTCATGAAAATCATCAAAATTGAGTCGTTGTGGTGGTTCTTGCACAAAAGTCGCCTCGTCAATGGCTTCCAAGTAGACGTAATCCATCTCTCCCGTAATCCATGGCGATACTTCCATCACCTGAATGCATAAAAAATTATTCAAGAACTTTTAAGAAAGTTTATTAACGTTAAATAAAACATTACCCGAGCTTGAACATCATTTTCAATGAAGATCGATTTGAGGTCGACCACGTCGCCCACTTTCAATGTGGCGTTTTCATTGTGAGCATACGATATGGCAGCCTTTGGATGAATAGCCGAAACAAGGCCCGGATACTTCTCATCTTTCCAATTCAAGCGATAAATCAAGGGATAGCAAGCGCGCACTTGTCTAAATGAATAATAAAATGCAAAGATAAAAATAATACTACACGTCATCTAACTTAATATTCTTTTCTTAATCGTCTATATTTATCAAAGGTAAATTTCAAGCGTTAAAAAAATACCAAACTTAGAAACTATTCTCTTAGAGAAACAACCTACTCTTGTTTCGCTTTTTCTATTTTTGCATGTAGCTTCATCAGTACATTCGCATCTTGACAGAGAATTTCGACATTGGCTGGTTGCTGAAAAAGCGAAACTTTTATCGTATTTTTTACACAAACAAAAACCAGTTTACGTTCAAGCCAACATTTAGGTCATTTAGGTTATTTCGAATTTTAAACTACGGTGATCTAACTACTAATTATATGTTTAAAAAAGATTAAATAAAAAGGTACTGTTTCTTGAAGAGGCTGTCCGTCCGACGCTCGTTCGTCCGAAGAGTTACTGCCCGCTTGCAGTCTAGTCGAGCTGGGCGTAACTAAAAAAGTATTAATAGAGCTTGATTCATAAGAACCAAAATTAAGAACAATTGCAATCATTGACTTCGATATTTTTGCCTTTTTGAATAAGTATTCCTGGAATACATATTAATGAATGCACATAAAATATCCAAAAAAAAAACTATAAAAAAACCTATAGAAAGTGCCGAAAAACAATAATTCGAAGAGAGATTGAAAAAATATGTATTCCAGGAAAAGCTTCCTTGAAATTCAAAGTAGCGAAATTAACCATTACCAAAAAAACAATAAAACTAAACCAAAGAAAAAGGCAACAAACCTCCAAAAAACAGTCTTCGTCGAAAGCAAGAAGTAATAAAACGCCAGAACATCGGAAAGGAAAGAATCACATGATGAAGCCATCTGTGCTCAAATCCTTTATATTTAAGATTTAAATGCAAATTTCGAATCCTCTAAGCAAATTTTTGTTCTAGAAAGTAGAAAGTTGATTTTGTCTCTGGATCAAAGTAGAGAAAAGTACAAGTGGATCTTACCATGGATAATTATTGTATTCCGATCGCTTGTGAAATTGTGGCTCTCATTCCATCTTTTATATTCGATCATCGGAAAACTACCACATTTTGTATGGAAACAAAAAGTGGGAGTTTTCCCATACAAAAAATACCACTTTAGTGCAAAAGAGTCAAACGAATATGTTCACAAGAGTCAATGTTATTGGACTTGGTTAGTGATTTGAAATGGCTAGAAAATCCTAGGCATTTGGGAATCTACTAAGATTAGTCTATGTGTACGATAATTACTCATCTATGTACTTTTAGAGAGCCTCACAGTAAATGGTTAAAAGACTGAATGGTCAACTTTGACATCCGATTTGACAGTGTTCTCTAGTATTTTTGCCCCGTCAAATTTGTACATTAGCAAGTCAAATTCGATAAGGAATCGAATAGCATCTTCCGTTAATCGATCCGACTCCTGTGAGTTCTATGGGAGAAATGCGGTTCTGCCCTTTGCTCTTTAACTCGACTCACAGGAGTCGGATCGATTAACGGAAGATACTATTCGATTCCTTATCGAATTTGACTTGTTAATGTGCAACTTTGACGGCCGCTGGTTCTAGAGAACACCGTCAAATCGGACGTCAAAGTTGACTACTCAGGTTCTTGGGATATATGGATGAAATCCTCGGTTTCACTGAAGGATTTTAACCAGCGATTGGGTGGTTAATAAAGACCCACATCAAATGCTGTGAGTCTTTGCTGAATAGCTTTCACTCATTCTCAATGATCTTCTAAAAGATATTCAGTAAAGACTCACAGTAAATAATTGACGGATTCAATCAATAACTTTAGTATTTTATTCTTTTACCGCTTGCGGCTTTCCCAGGCTTTTGATACGGGAAAACATGGGAAACTTATTTTATTATAGTTATTTATTATCTAATGTAAATATCCATAGTTAACCCTCTGAGCAAAATCTGACCATTGTTATTATCGATTTTAGGTTTGATTAGTCTCATAAAAACCGCGACGAGATTAGACGGAATGGGGCCCCGTAATAGGATAAATGAGCGTATATTATTATTCACTTTTAATAATTAAAGTGCCTCAAAAACCTTCAATCTTTTGAGAATATTTTTTATATTTTATTTATCATCTTACTGAATATCTTATTTTGCGCGAAATACTTAGCTAATGGCAAAGTATTCATTTACTAATGAGTATAAAGCCCGATCATGCAACAATTCTTGTATTTTCTTGGGGTAGGCTAATTTCCGCCATTTTATTTGCGCAACAGGGTCATTTGCACAACTAGGTCTTTTGCACAACTCGCCATAACTTCCTGTTAAGTGGACCAATCTTTATGATTTTGGTTTCATTTTGTAGATCTCAATATGTGCAACAAAATGAAACCAAAAGCATAAAGATTACTAAAGGAAGTGGCAGTTGTGCAAAAGACCCTTGCGAATAAAAAAATTCGCGCAAAGTAGCCTATCCCATTTTCTTTTCTCATTTTCAAGATAAAATTTTCATGTTTTTTAGGCGTTTTGGTAGCTTGGATTTTATATTTTTTATGATCCTTCTTACCATGGTTGATAAGTGGAGTGATCTTTAGCGATTATTTCAAGTTTTTTCTAGAAGTTTTCAATCTTAATTGTCTCATGGTTTTTGCGAAATCTAATGATTTTTGATTTACAGGTGGAACGTCGCCAAGCCCGATGCTGTTTGAAATGCGAAAGCTGACGTCATTCCCTATGGAGAAAACTATGTTACGACTTAAAGCTGGAGGTGTTCGAGCAAATGAAGCCGAGTGATGTGATTGAATTGGTCTTGGTGAATACAGGATTTCGATCGATCCTACGGGAAACCGTGGATAGTTTGTGGACATCACGTGTACGATATCATAGACAGTCTTTGGGAAGGGACTCTAATAATGAAATTTAGCGACCGACGAAACAACGTCACACTGAATACCGAGTCCCAGCTTCCATTGTGGAAACGAATCCATTCGTGTGACAAATTGGGGATCGCTTTGGTCCCTCAACAATTGAGCCATGAAAAGTTGACGTTCCTGAGTCAATTGAAATATGTGAAACATTTGACGCTCTCTGGAGACTCAAACGAGGAGTTGCGGAAATTTCTTGAAAATTTTCGCATAGTGATTGAAAAGCGCGCGTGGATTAGGGTGAAGATTGATTTGTGTAAAGAAAATCAAGTGATCATCGAGCTTTTTAAGAATTTCATTGTAAATAAGATGAATGAGTGCAAAGAGGTCGGGTTTTATTGTCATTCCCTTGCCACGTTTCATTTCTATTGCGAGGTTTTTGCCAAAACTTATATAAAAAACCTCATAGTGTGGGTTTCTTTTGAAAATTGTGAAGAGATTATACCATTAATCGTGCAATCAATCGCTGAAAAGGGGATCCCAAGCAAGAATTTGGAGACGACTTTTTTGATGATTAACAGGGGTTGTAGAAACTCGACTTATGTCCGAAGCCGCGATTTTCTTTCACAATTTCCTGGAATGGAGCAATTAGAAATGGGAAATTATGAAGAAATCGTCAAAAAGGCGATGGAACTCACTAAAAAGAATTTCATCAAGCCCCCTTATCCGAGAGAGGTTCGATTTTTTAGACGAAATATTGATTCAAGTAGGAATTGTATTTACATGCTTCTAGACTGGTTATTTTTCGCTTTCTACAATTGACCGCAATCGGAGATGATAGGGTTTTCAGGGTTTCTATTGGGTTTTGTAGCAGTTTAATGGTTTTATTGTTTCATTGTCACTTATTTTATCTAATCGATTCATTTTCCATATCCCGCTGAAATTTCATTCAAAAAATAAAGTTTAAAATTAGTAACTAATGAAAAGGTGTAATAAAAAATATGATGAAAATATGTTGCCATCAACGTTTCAATGTTGTTGAATAATGTTGCATCAACTGTTTGCCTTATCGTATGCTCACGTTGACAACAAGAAACTGGGGGAAGATGACAGGGTCGAGCTTAAATCGATGCTCGATCAAACTGAAGTCGCAGATGAGGTAATGTTTTATTGAATGTTAATAAACTTTCTTAAAAGTTCTTGAATATTTTTTTATGCATTTAGGTGAAGGCTGTATCAAAACACGAGGAGATGGATTACGTCTACTTTGATGCTCTTCGCGACAACTTTTTGAACGAATCGACAAAACGCTTCAATATTTCTGATCTTCACGAAGGAATGCCCTATACTTTCATTGGACTCTTGGACAACGAACTGTGCATCGAATAATATGGAAACATTTACTCTACGTAAGTAAGCTGAGTGTTAAAGGGGAAGACACGAAGCCAAGGTAGTCAATTAATAGGAAAGTCATGTACCTATATGTAATTGACTCTCCTGATTTCGAATGACTATACATTCGGGATCAGGATAGTCGGTTACATATAAGAGCACTACTCGCTTATTGATTGGCTATCTCGACATCGTGTCCCCTTTTTCGGTCTATATTGATTCCTAGTTTTTGTTTTTTTTTTAATTATTGAGATGGCCTGCTAGAGGTTGAGAGTGAATCATGGACGATTAACGGTCTGCTTTTTTATAGGAAGACGACCAAAGAAGGCCATTATCTAGGAACAAGTCCTGCACATGCTAAGGAGTCTCTCGGGTTCGTTGTGACAAAAAATGGTTCGATTATCGGAAGCAATTTTCCAAAGCAAAGGAAATGATAATATATTTGATTATTTATATATTAACTTATCGCAGTGCCAACATCGGGTCACATCGAGTCATCATGCCAATTTTCGACTTCGGGAAAACTTTAAACGCTTGGTTTGTTCATGTTCGTTGATTTTGAAAAGGGGGTTGTTTTAGGATGCGAAAATCCTCAATGAGTCAAACGTGCCCACAAGTTCGTTTTTTTTTCTTAATGTTTTTTTGATCACCTCTTTAGCTCAAAATAAAGTCTAATCTCTTTATTTACAGATAGACGAATGGCATGATTTGGAATAGCCGTGCTTGTGCCCAATTTTATGCTTATTTTTTATATTTAATAAATTTTTCTCTCGATTGTATTACAGTACTTTTTCTGTCGAAAAGTTCAAAAATTCAATTCAATAAGATTCAAATCCATTTAATAAACTTTCATTGAACTCACGATAAATTGTCTATACTCAGTATCGGATAAGAACCCAGGGAATTTTTAAATTTTTAGGAGTTAAAAGTGTGCATTTCATCTCATATCAGCATATTTCTGAAATTCTGATTCATTTGTCTCGATAGTTAAAATTATGAGTTTATTCAACAAAGAATAAATAAATGAAATAATTATATTTGAAATCTAAAATGAAAGAAAAATATAACAACCTGTCACATTTTGGGTCTGTTTAAAATAGACGAGTGGAAAGCTCTTTGTAATAGTTTCGTTTTGTAAAAATCTCTTCAAATATGAGTTGAATGTTTCCAAGAAAATAGGTGTAATGATCTAAAAAATCAAAATGGATAATGAAAATAAAAATACCAAATAAAACTTGATTGGATAATCCAATTTAAAAAAATCAGAACCAACTCTGAGCAAATCGATCTATCCAAATCCCGTGTTCTGCCGCCTGGTTTGCAGGGGAATGAAAAATCCAGTCAAGCTAATTATTGAACACCCTGTAGACTGTACGAGAAATTGCAGGTCGGTCGTTTCCCATTCGACAGTCAAATGTGCTCGATGGATTTCTATGTTTCGGCTTATGAGTATTACTATGTTGAACAAAAGGGAGCGCTTTTCACAAAATACGATGAGGCCAATATTTTGGTAAGAAAGTTTAAAAGTTAAAAAGCAAATCGTGAAAAATGGTAACGTTTCCGGAGCGATGAGCTCATTCGAGAGCTTGTTAAATGAGTTGTATGCATTCGATTCGGGGAGCTTTTAGTAGATAAATGTAGCCCAGAGTTAGGGCTTCAAATCTTTATATAAGACTTGCCATTTTTCAAGTACAATTCGCTAATTTTTGTATTATAGATTTCTAATTTGCAATAACTTTAATATTTGGTTTTCGATCGTTTGGTGTTGAGGGAATTTCACATTTTTTTCCCTTTTTTTTTTTTTTTTTTTTTTTTTTTTTTTTTTTTTTTCGGGGGGGGGAGAATATTTAATATTTTTTTTTTCCCTTATTATATTTTTTTTAAAAAAAAAAAAAAATTATTTATTAAAAAAAAAAATTATTAAAATACATAATTTTAAATTTTTTTCATTGAGCCCCCCCAGAGGAGGCCTCAAAAAAAAAAGGGGCGAAGTCATAAGTTTTTTAAGTTGTTTTTCCACTACTGTATTCAGAATTATCATAGATGTTTCAGAGATTTTCGTCGAATTGTTAAAAAATGGTTTCTTTCGATGCAGTTCGATGCATTTCTTCTTTTTCGCTTTCTTTCAAACGGCAAATATCGGCAAGTTTTGTTGAGAGAAATAAAGTTTTTTCAGATTTTTAATTACAGAAATTACACCAGAAAAAATTGACTCTAGTCATTGTCAAAAATTTCGACGAGATTGGGTTCACCCAAGGAACAGACGGGTCAAGTGGGGAAAACTCACAAATGGAATGACAGCGAAACTTTCGAGGTAAAGTCAAGAAAGGCACGACACGTCGTTTTCATTGAACTTTGGAAATTTTTGGAAATTTGAGACCCTAGGACGCTTTCCACAAGTATTCCCATTTCGTTTTCTCTAATCACACGAAGTAGGTACATTGAGCGAGTTCAAGCTAGCGGGTCGGTTTTGTTTATTTTGAAGTTTGCAAAATTCTCAATTCAACGAAATTCAATTGTACTTTTTGAAATTTGCAGCATTCTCCAAACAATGTTGATAACGACAACAGTTTTCGCGATTATTTTCTTCAGTGTTGACGCTAAAAACTCGTCAGTCTACAACAGAAAACAATCAGGGATATCAGGTAGTTAGACAGTGGACTTACCTCAAAATGCCAACTTTCAAAACAAGTTTAGAAAAATATGCTGCCTTTCTGGAGAATAATCAGAAAATTTACGAGGAAATTTTCACTAACCGGATGTATCGAAGTGATCTATCGCCTATTTATCAGCAATACGCCCAGGATTTAGGTGAATAGCAAAAACTACTTTGCAATAAAACTTCTCAACTCAACGATACATTTAGATACCCCAAGATTTGATGTCAAAATCGGTTTTACAGTTCGTTGAACTCATCGAAATGGTAGCAACTCGTTAACTGTTTAAAAAAAAGCACAATTTAGGATCCGGCTGCACAAACGGTTAGCATGGCGAGCGAATTTACTTATGTAAGTTGTTCAGATAAACTGTCATTTTAAAAACATTTGATAATCATAAAAATTTATCAAAAGGCACACAGAAATTTAATCACTGAGAATCAACAATCTGTACAATTCGACTAGTACATAAGGCAAAGCTTTAAAACAGAAAAACAGAAAGAACTTGTCATGTAAAACCGTGCTCACAACAACTGAAGAAAAAAACGATAACACAACTATCCTAGCATGTGTAAAACACCTACACGTATTTAAAAAATAAAATGAAAATTGAAAAACTTTGTAATGAAAAAACAAAATCACACGACTGAATTCTGCTAACATCCTCCAGTAATCAAGCTTTGTCCATATCGAAGAGAATCCCCAGCTTGGATGGCAAAACGAAGAGTTGGCGGGGCTTGAAAGACCAAAACGATTGTCGATCCGAGACGAAACTCGCCAACTTTCTCTCCAGGTAGAAATGGGTGATGAATTTGTTCGGCCACTGGCTCGTATTTTTTGCGTATCTCCTCCTCACTCTGACATTTGTTTGCAGCTCTGGTTTTGCGTCGATTGCAATATCTCCGACGTTTGTAGCCGCCACGGCTGACATTGAAAAAAATCCATGTTTCCATTCACCATTCAGCACAACCCTCTCGTTCAAGCAGAACAAATGTGGAACTCGATTGAGAAGCGATGGACGAACGGACAGCAACAGCCCAGGATAATGTCGAGCCTCTTCTGCAACCCATCTAGCCGGTGAGTGGAAAGAATGATAGTTTCCGGGAGCCAAGTAGATCACCACTTGATAGAGATCCAGTTCTTCAGCATTGTTGAGTTTGACATCGCCAACAAACTGCTGAATGTCGTAGTCATGTCCTTTCACATACTCGACTCGGCCATCTTCAACACGTCCAAAGTGCAAAACAATTCCATCGGCCGGAGAGACGAGTGGGCTTGCTGAGATCGGTCGAGTTTCAGGCCGAAGACTTCGATTGAAGAATTCCGCAAAAGTGGTGTAGCCCTTGAAGTCGGGGTTCAACGCTTCTTCCATTCGACAATCGTAGGCTCGGGCAAAAGCACCAAACAGCGTAGCACGAAGTCCCTCGGGGATTTCCTTGTTTGCTAAACTTCCGGCAGTCCGCGAGATTGCTGAAATTTATTGATTAGTAAGTAACAAGAAACACATCTACAACAACAAGTTTGGTTTATATGCACAACAACAGTAACTATATCACAAAAAAGTATTCTTAAAAACTTTACATTTACAAAAAAAAATTTACAACGTAAATTTAACATGTTGTTGTGCATAAAACCCAAACTTGTCATAACCCATACATAAAACTTACCATTCCAAGGCAACGAGAAGTAGGAGCGAATCTAAAAACATAAGTACTGATTTGTCTTGATTTGTTTAAAGTCTAATATAGTAAACGTCTTTTAAAATTGGCTTCATTAATCTAAAAATTTACCCTTACATTTTAAATAAAATTACCATTCAATCAGAATAATAATGCTTCGAATCTGTAAGTTGTCGCCAATCGGGGGTGAACAAGTACCCCAAGTAGGAAAGGCCGCCAACGAGAAGCGATGAGACACCAAAGAAACGAATGAGACGACCTCGACGTTGTAATTTGATTGTTTTTGCTGCTGCATTCAAAGTCGCTGAATTGACAGGCCCGGGCTGAGTCGAGTAGTGCGCATAGGTGATTGGAGATGTCGTCGAAGGGAACAGATGTAGCGTTTCTTGGCTCCTCATCTGTGAGACTCGCACAAATTGACGCAATGGAGATATCTAAATGAAAATAAATTACAAGCCGTTTTGAAGAACACAATTTAACTGTATTGACTGCATTTAGCTTCTCAAGTAGTAAACATTCACAATCATTTTAGCCAAATGTAGCAAAGATTTAGCAGGAAAATTGCGCCAAAATATAAGAGTAAAATATATCAGTTTCCTTTCAACCTTTTAAATATATCAGTTTCTTTCAATCTTTTAAAAAATTATACCACTCAGGGTGTTCTATCTATGGGTTTTTTAAGAGATCAACCACTAAAAACTCCAAACTAACCTTATTGAAGAATCCCAAAAGGTTAAAAGCATCTCGCTTCCCAGCAGCTATTCCAGAGGTTCCCTATAAAAAAATTTATGCACAAAAAACAAAAGTTTTACCGATGAGCTTGACGTTGACCGAGAAGTGTTCCCAAAACGTTACCGCATCGCGTCCATCCATCTAAATAAAAGAAATTGTATAAGAAAATCAAGTGAAGCCGTCAGAAATAGGTCAAAATCTTAAAAGTATCTCGAGATAAAGCTTTGCCAAGTTTAGACACTCAAAAATTATAGTTTGATGCTCGTAAATACGGTGAAAGGCTGTGGTTTAGGGGTTTGTTGCGGGCAAAAGAAAAAAAAAGCAGCAAAAAACATGGACGACAGCATTTCGCAGGAAATATTGCCCATTAAACAATGAAAAATGAGAAAAATGGCGAAAAACGTACAGGATCGACAATTTTCCAATTGAATATCTTAACTCAGTGGAAACAATGTCGTATTTGTAGAATAAGTAGAATAAAATGTAGGGAGTAGGCTAATTACCGCAATTTATTTTTGAGCCTCGCTTTAACTTTCTACTATGTCGATCAATCCTTATGATTTTGGTGTCATTTTGTAGATCTCAATAAGTGCAACAGAATGAAACCAACATCATAAAAGATTGACCGACTTAGAAGAAAGTTATGGCAAATTGCGTAAATGTGCTCAGTTGCGTAAATGACCCTGTTGCGCAAAAATGCGGTAATTAGCTTACCCCATATGTAGAATATTTGAAGTAGAATTTTTGTAGAAAGTAGAATGCAGATTAGGTTCAATTCGAATTAAAAATCTCCTAAAATAAAGATATTTGTGCATAGTTTATCTAATTGTAAGGTGTTATTATTAATTAGACTCAACTAATTACTTCTAGACTTACGCTGATCCGAGACTTGCATGGGATCCAAGCGATTTTAGGCGATGTTAAATCCATCTACGTCAATATTATGTCACTTTGGTGGCCGAACAACGGGATCACAAATACGTGAGTTGAACAGGAAAAAAAATTGATTATTTGGGGCTATACACGTTGGGTGTGGACAGTCAATTTTGCAAGTGACATTTTAATTTTCCTTGGGTTTTCGACAACGCTGATTAAATTGCAAATAGTTTCATGGCTTCGTTCTAACTTTGATTTTTTATCCCAATTGGCTGCGGTGTAGGCGACGCCCCCGGACCAACTTTCGCTTGATTGGGAAGTGACTTGCGCCACACCGTGTTTTTTGTTAAATGGGTGGGAAATCTTTCATACCACCCGCCTTTCGTCCCACTTGCTAGTTTTTTTCTAGCACTTTTCTATCTTAACAATTAAGTGATGTTAAGATAAAAAGAAAGCTGATGGTGGGTGGAGGGCGGGGGGATAAACCAAAAAAAAGTACCCCAACTTTAATTGTTTTGGCTTTTTAATGCATGTTTTTTTAGTTATAATCAAGCCTTGAAACTATTTGCAATTTAATCAGCGTTGTCGAAAACCCAAGAAAATTAAAATGCCACTGGCAAAAATGAGGTCACGCCACTGCTCACACCCAACGTGTAAAGCTCCGAACAGTTAATTGTTAAGAAAAACCCGCACTCATCTTTCCCAACGAATTTCAATTCCCCCTAAAGTGGCGGCAAATGGAACGGTGGACATGAGCATCATGTTTTTAACGGAAAGTCGCTGCGTTTTTGATGTAAGTAATGAAGAATCTGTAAAAAGCTATAAAGCACTGATATAAGCGGATCCGATAATGATTTGAGCAAGAATTCTTAGAGATTTAAAAATTACAAACAATGACTGCTTTTCTAGGTTGCGAATTTTCCCTTCGACGTTCAAAGTGTACTCTCGATTTCTTCGACGCTACTTATGATATCCATGATGTCACACAAACAGGCGAACCTCTTCACAAAATATCAGTGGGATATTATTGAAGTTGAAAAGTGAGAGAAAACTTAAATTTGAAAAATTCTAGTCCAACGGTGAATGGACGATACAAAACGTGAGCATCAACTACACACTCGTCGAACAAGGTGACGCGTATTTCAACTACGACTATGTGAGCGATTGTATAGCCTTTAAATCTGTAAAGAATACTAATATTTGTTTTAAATATTAGTAGCAGCTCTTTCAAGCAATTTCCTTTTTTTCAGCTCCAATTCACATTCATCCTTCGCCGTGAGCCAAATTTCTATATTTTTGTGATCGCGATCCCGTGTTTTTTGCTTACACTCCTATCGATCTGTGGCATGTTTTGGACGCCGAATCTTAAAGATGAACAATTGATTAAGGTAAAATTTAAAGAGTATGTTGTTGAACAGAAAAATTGATTAAAATGGAAAAGATTTTCAGTTGAGTATCGGTTTGACTTCAATGATGTCAATGACTCTCTTCGTTGACATGGTTTCACAGCAAATCCCGAAGAACACCAGTTTCCCGTTGTTGGGTGAGTAGTGATAATTAAAAACAGAGTTAATTTTCTCAATCAATCTTTCAGGTAGCTTTGTTATTGTGGACGTTTTCGTGATTTCAATAGCTTGTGTCCTTCTTGTCACTCTCCCATGTGAAACAAGTCCGCTTGAGAAAGAAAAGATCAAAGACAGAGAATTTAATCTGAGGTTTGCAAAAAACATGAGATTTTTAAAAAGGAGACCGGGCTTAACGTGGTTTACAGCAGTTTTAGTCATTTGAAAGAAAGTTTTGTGCTAAAATTTTGTTTTGTACTTTTGTGCGACTCAGCGCTTTAATCTCTGGCTTAGCCACCGTAAATCTTAACCCAATTGTTAGATGTTACAGTCAACTAAGTAATTTCTAGTTTTTATTCATATTACACAGCCATATTAGCCAATAATTACTGTAAAATTAGCTAATTTAAAGGAAAACACAAGCCATAGAGATCCAATATGATTCGGATGCGGTTCCAATATGGTTCCAATATGGTTCGGATACGGTTCCAATATGGTTCAATATGCTTCCAACATGGTTCCAATATGGTTCCAATATGGTTCGGATACGGTTCCAATATGGTTCAATATGCTTCCAACATGGTTCCAATATGGTTCCAATATGGTTCCAATACGGTTCCAATATGGTTCAATATGCTTCCAACATGGTTCCAATATGGTTCCAATATGGTTCCAATACGGTTCCAATATGGTTCCAATATGGTTCGGATACGGTTCCAATATGGTTCAATATGCTTCCACCATGGTTCCAATATGGTTCCAATATGGTTCAATATGCTTCCAACATGGTTCCAATATGGTTCCAATATGGTTCAATATGCTTCCAACATGGTTCCAATATGGTTCCAATATGGTTCCAATATGGTTCGGATACGGTTCCAAGCCATAATAATTACTGTAAAATTAGCTAATTTAAAGGAAAACACAAGCCATAGAGATCCAAGCCAGACTACGATAGCTGGGACATACTTCAGAGGAAATGAGACTTTACAGCACCTTCAAAAAAATTCCCCTGAAATTTCAGATCTTGGAAAAACCTGATTCGAAATTGGTTCTGTTCTTTGCATTTTCTCATCTTCATCATATTTCAAGCGGCCAATCTTACGAACTTTATCATTCTCGTTTCGTTTTGGAGTTGAACTGTTAAATGTATCATTGCTTTTTTGGCATGCAAATCTTGCTCAAAGTCTCGTGATTAAATAAAATCTAAAGCACAAGCACTACAAAATTTCACCTAAACTTTCCCGAGAACTTGCCGGGTTTTTCTTTCAACCTTCAACAAACACATAACCTCCGCACTTTTTCTCACGACAGTTAGAAGTGTTCTCTGCGAATTTCACAGAAACATTGCGTTTACAAAAAATCCTCTGAATCACTTTGAGTTCTTGTAGCCTAGAGGGGCACTTGTTTTTTATTATTTTAAAATTTTGAAAGATGCTTAACGTTGATTTGGTGCTAACAACAGTGCTCTATATCGTGCTGGCCATCATCAACATTTTGTCGCTAATTTCGCTGACAATTACCACAAAGTTATCGCCTATGTATTTAATAATCGAGACAATGATATTTCTGGATATTGCGGAAATGGTGACAACACAGATTCACAATGTTCCGGTGACAATTATTGAAGAGGAGATTTACGGTAAGGCAAATTCCCGGTTCCAAGCTTTGCAGAAAGCCTTGAGGAAGCCTTGAGGAAGCCTTGAGGAAGCCTTGAGGAAGCCTTGAGGAAGCCTTGAGGAAGCCTTGAGGAAGCCTTGAGGAAGCCTTGAGGAAGCCTTGAGGAAGCCTTGAGGAAGCCTTGAGGAAGCCTTGAGGAAGCCTTGAGGAAGCCTTGAGGAAGCCTTGGAGAAGAGCCTTGAGGAAGCCTTGAGGAGGCCTTGAGGAAGCCTTGGAAGACAACTTTTGGCTTCAATCTTCCCAATTTCTTTCGTTACAATCTGCCTACATTTAGTATAATATCTAAAATTTTACCAATAAATTATATAAGTTATAAAATCTTTAAAATTCAAACTTCTTTACCTGTTTTTAAATACAGAATTTTTGAGCGTACAAAATTGAACCAAACCTTCACTTTTCGTTAGCTTTCGTTAGGCTAATGAAAAATTCCGCATTCAAAACCAAAAATACACTCTTTCTCAAGACGAATTTGGAAAATTTCTATGGAAACAGATTTCCCAATCACATCATTTTCAAAGGGATATCTTCATCAACATAAATGTCTTCGTGCAATCATTTCGATGGTTCGGCCAACTCTCGTTGATCCCGATACTCGCCGGACTCCATTTAGCGAGCGTCGCTTACCCCCGCAAAAGCACACACACTAACAAAGGCGACCGTCGTGAAATTGATGACCTTTGCACTTCTCACCAACTTTAGGTAATACTTTGGCTTTAGTTTGAAGGATAAAATCAAGCTGAGAAGAGCTTAGAAAGTCGGTTTTTGAAAGCCACAGTAATTTTCCGATTATCTATCTATTTATTATCTATTTTCCTATTATCTTAACTGAAATGGGTTCATAAAAGTAGATTGAAATTTAGAGACAAGATTACGATAGCTTTCAAACATTGACAGGTTTTAGGGAACGCACTAGGTGCACAATGAAATCACAATGCTAGTGTGGATTAGTTACCTTTGAACCTTGACTTCCTGTTATGACCAGTCGTCAAAAACTTTTTGAGCTCAAAAACGGAAGTAAAGATGAAAGACCCGGAACTCCTGATTTTCCCGTCAACCGTGAGATTTTTCAGGTCTCACCGCTCCATTGTTCACATCATGTTGTGGCTTCAAATTCTACCTTGACGGATTTTATTGGAATTTTGACTGGGAAAAGCCATCATATCAATTGTACTCGAATCTCAATTTGGGATTGCAGGTTGTTTAAATGAAAAGCTTTCTATTAATCTTTCTATTAAATGTTATTTCAGTATTTTGCGTACGGTTCGCTCATTCTCTCGGACGTCTACTTGGCGGTGAAAATTCGCAAGTGGCGTCGACCACTGAATCAACACAAGAAATCGATTCAAGGGATTACCTTAAACTAGAATTTTAACGAAAACATCTGTCCTTTTCTTTTTTGCCGTTGGCAATTTAAGATTTTTCGTCTTTTTCACAACACTAACTCTTCGATTTTGACTATATTGACTATCATCCGATGAAAAATAAAATTGTACAAGTAGAATGAGACAAAAAACTAACTGCAAATATAATATCCACGCAAAAGTTGTTGGCTAAAAATCTAAACCCCACCCATTATAGACGGGAGTTAACCTTTTGCCTTATAACTTTGCATGAATATTATATTTTTAGTTATTTTGGTATCATTCGACGCGCAATTTTATTCTGCATCGAATGATAATTTAAATAGACAAAATCAAAGGGTTGGTGCTGAGAAAAGACGAAAAATTTTTAATTGCTGACGGTAAAAAGGAAAAACAGATGCTTTTGTCTAGTTTTTCATAAAAAAGACAGGATTACGGTAGTTTTTCAAAGCGCTTAGCTCAAAAAGAACAAACTCTGACAAGTGCTTGACGGGTAAAATCCAACCCCTTTCAGCCACTCGCCATCACATCAATATCTCAAAATCCTGGTTCATTCACGAATGTGATTGATCAAAATATCGAAAAGCCAAAGGAAATGATTCGAATCGAACAGCCAGCAAAGATATTTACACAATTGAGAAAAAAAAGTATGCGGCCCAAGGTATGTAAACTTCAAATCCTCAAATCCCTCAAATAATTCATTTCCAGATCTCACAAATTTCTCCCGAGGCTCGACTTGCCTTTTGCTTTATTTATTTCAGTGTATCCGTCATTTTAAACTCGATTTGTTTCAATGTTCTATTTCGGTAAATGAAAAAAAAACTCTTGTACAAATCAACCAAACTCTTTAGCTTTAATGGTCTCTGGGTCGAGATCGTCAAATATATCTCCAAGATTCTCTCATACACAAAATATGGAGCCTATGTTTTGATGGCTAGGAAATGAACTTGAAGACATTTCCATCATGTTTCTCGTCAATGAAATTTTTTGTGCCTCAAAGCAACTAAAGATGTGTAACCAAGAGAAAACTCACAAAAAAAAAAATCTAGGAGACAGTTGTAGTTGTTTTCCTTCCATTCGTCCGAATCGTTACCGTAACCAGAACTTTTCTTGCTTAACTTGGTTTTGAAACTTTCAAGTGCAACAACTACTGTGAAAAGTCCAGCAAAATTTACACGGAATAGCGTCATTGATCCGCTTCTCTGACAGGACACTTTCTTGCCCACATCAGGCTTCTCTTTCTTCTTCTAAAATACATGAAATTAAAATACTGTAGCAGAATTGTACAGTACCTGAGGTTCAACCTTGAATCCAGATTCTGTCAGAGCAAGAATCTCAACAAGCTTCCCGGTTGTGACGGCTCTCTGAAATGTAAATCTTTATGAAGACGTTTTACTATGCAAATTAAAATACTGTAGCTTTGCTTATATACAGTACCTAAGGCTCTGGCTTCCATTGTTAACCACCGAGAAATAATATTTCTATACACTACTGAAAATCTAACAAAATTACATTAGTACTGTACATCTTAATCTGGTACTGTTTTTGAATAACAAAGCTACGAATTACTGTTTCGTTTCTCCCTCACAGTAGATGAATCCCATCATCTTTCTGAAACGTTAATAATGTTTCTATAATCAACTAGAATCTAACAAAATTTCATTAGTATTTTTTCTTTTCTTTTTCCGAATCGACAAATTTTCCTGAATTGAAGATTGAAGTGTGCTCGTTTAAGAGTAGCTCTGGCAATTTTTTAAATGTTAAGGAAAGAGTGGTAATTGGCTAGAAAGTGGTAAAAACTAGAGTGTGTTCCTGGCGAGTGAGTAAAATTTGCATGAGTAATTTTACTAGATTAATCGACGTTTTTTGGTCGAGTAACTACGAGTAATCCTTTTTACACGTCGAGTAAATTGAATATCTTTACTTGTGAAGGGAATTTGCCACCAAATCAGTTAAACGGCTGAATATCTTTAGAAAGAGTCGTATAGAAGT